CTTTCTTTAGCACGTGACATGCATAGCCAAGCACTGTTACTGAAAAGAAAAAGATACATACAGCATGTTTATGAACTGTGATTAAAGTGAGAGGTAGTTGGACTCTTAGTGTTTTGACTATGCACAGTACACTACTAGTACACTACTTCCGCATCAGAAAGCCTTTGTAAAAGCATGGCATTTACTTTTCTCATGCAAACTGGCATCTGCATATGATTTAACTTCTCTATTAGTTTTTTTTTTATTGCTTTATTGTGGTGTTTGGTTATTGGTTTGGTTTCTTTGGTTTTGTTGTGTTTTTTTTTTTTTTCCATTTGATGCTTTAAATGCTCCCAAACTAACGTGAAGAGATTATCAAATTTACTTTTTATCTTAGGCAAGACCTCAAACATGAAAGCCAGAATTTCTCCAGTGGATTCAGTAGGGCCTCTTACTCTGCCTTGACCTCTTAGTCTGCCTCACAAGTCCTCAGTTGTTGCAGATCACATACTGGCTACTCACTGCCTGGTTAAATTCATCCTGAAACAAGAGAAAGGAATGCAGTAGCTGTTTGACGTGTAGATGTACGAAAATGGATTCTCTGCATATATAAAATACTTTCATTGTGAAGCAAAATTTCCAGCTGTGGGAAGGGTTTAAAATCTCTGTGAACTCTTAGTTTTAAAAAAAGTTATTTCAGTTCTTGTACTTCATCAGGAAATCACATAGTACATCTTGTTTTGCCTTAGTATCTGTTATGTTCATTCTAATTAGCTGTGACAGTAGAAATGTAGAAGATCATCCAATGTATAAGTGTGGTTGGACATGGCACCTGGTGCTGTTCTGTAGTTGGTAATTTGTTAGCTTCTGCAGAGTTAGTTATTTGGACATCAGGCTTGCACTTTGTTCTGGAATAATATCAGAAATCATTTTTAAACGGTCAAAATGGTAAGTCTGAGTATGTTATGTAGCCCATTTGGAAGCACTTGCCATTTTCCAGATAGTACTAATTTGTCAACCAGATATAAAGCAACAATTTGAAACACTAGAATAGCATGGCCAGTCTTTCTTACAGCTATTGGAAATAAAGTAAAATTGTTGTTCTTTCCTCCCAGTTAATCAATTTTTAGTGGCTTGCTTCTTAATGTACTGCAATCACTATTCAAAAGGCAAGTTTGACATATTACGCAGAAATTGTTCTTCCTTTGTAGGCTTCAGAAGTGTAGCAATTTTTCACTGTTGCTACATGGAAAAAGACAACTCAAGTATTTTGGTTTACAGAATAAATTAATGCAGAATTTCAAGGAATAGTTTGTGTCTGTGCTTGCTGTCTGTAGCCTGTCTATGGGTGGACTAGGGGAGGAGGGAAGGAAAGGAGGGAAAGAGAATACAAATACTGGGCCCCAAATTAATGTCTGATGTCTCTGAATTGAAGTAATGTTAGACTGGTTAGACAGGTAAGCAAATGACTGTCCCATCAAACGGTGATGCTTGTACATTTGGGAACCTGTAGAGAACACCTGGGAATAAGATTATTCCAGAGGAAAATACATGTTAATTCACAATTTCAGAAAAGTTCCAGTGATTATTCTAGAAGGGGAAAAAAAAAAAAAAGAAAAAAAAAACTGATAAAATTAGGGAAATCCTACCTAAGCAAAGATAAGTAATGTTCAGATATGATACTTGCCTGACCTCTGAATTCATTTCAGCTGCTGCAACAGACAAGCCTAGAGTTCCTGTGTAGGACTCCTTGGTTTAAAAAAGAACTTAAAGAATCTGATGAACTTTCCTTTTATCTAACTTGTCTGTCTTAGTATAGTGTCATTTTGAATTAAGTCATATAGATATATATATATATATATGTCATAATGCTGATGATATGCCTACTTCAGTTTGCAGCTCATCTGGTGAAGAGCAAGTACCCACGGGTCTGCATCCTAGATGGAGGAATCAACAAGATCAAGCCAACTGGTCTCCTCACTGTTCCTTCTCCACAAATATAAGTGACTGTAAATGTTCAGGATGATTTGTCTGAATAGGCAAGTCTTGCAGTACAGCATCAATATTGGGTGACTCTATTATACGGTTTCTGGATGATCAGTATTTCACCTTGCTCATCAAGAGCCAAGTTTTATGATTATTCTTTGACATAGAGCTTCATCTGCCACAGATGAAAAATGTGAATCTTCCAGTTTTCTGAGAAACTTCTTTCAGCAGTGATGTAGTGCAAAACTGCCTGAGCTCATCTGAACTCAGTTAGTATTCGCTATCTTAAAAATGTTTCTGCAGAATGACATAAACTGGCAATTGATTGCCCTAAGCTGTACTTAAATAGATTGTTTTTCAAAAGTATTTTACTGTGAATATTGAAAGTAATGAGCTGAAATTGTCATGTGTATCAAAGAAAGAAAAGATGTGTTCTCATTTTAAAGAATAATTGCTGTATCTTGTGACCTATTTTTTTTCTTACTACTTTTTTTGAAAGCATTTTTCATCTGGATTGGAAATAAAGACATGTCCTAGATTGGATATTGCTGTAGGAGCTGCTGCTAAGTCAATCCAAACTGTATCGTGTACTGCAGAAGTGGAGAAGACTTGCTGTTAAGTGGAGAATTTAACACTCAGTTTCCTGAAACATGGCAAATACAACTATTTCTTAGACAATTATTGCAACAACAACAGATTGTTGACAATGCACAAAGTGTCTGTGACAATAGATTGATTACTCCACAAATAATAGAGTTTATCTGTGTTAGAAGCTCATGCCTTAAAGAGAATCAGTGCACTTTTAATTTTCATATGGAAACTGCTTAGAGAAATCTTTAATACAGGAAAACAAGGTTGTTAAAATGTAAGATAGACAGTATGTCTTTGAACTTAATTTTTTCCCAATTCTCACTTACTTTAGATGGGCAGTAAGAAGAAGCTCTTCCATTTGTTTCTACATTTTTCAAGTTTAGAAAACTCTGGTATAAGGCTTAATAGGCACTGAAACTTGAAGTAGAAAATATGATTTGTAAAAAGCCTGGTCTTTGTTAAAACAAAAGCTGTTAGACAGTACTTGACTTAATACAACTTCACTGTTAGGATAACAAGGATCTGCCCTGAGAGAGAGAGCTGCTTATCATACACCTTAGTTGAGGATTTTCTATCATCACTGGTTTATGGATTGGCAAATAAGAACATTGCATCAACTAACTTCGTTTCATCTTAATTTGTCACAAGAGATTTCCAAGACAAAACAATTGTGAAAGGAGAGAAGAGGTCATGGAGAAGGCTGTGAACTCAGCTCATGAACATTCTCTGTAGATCACAGGCAAAATGATTACTTGAAGTATTTTCTGGTATTTTGTGTAACTGATACCGTGGAATACGAGGCCTTGTGGAAGGTGTTGAAAGAAGTCTTGTTTTCTTCTATGTGATGACCAGAAGATTTTAATCTGCACCTTCAGAAGCTAGTCTCTTTGGAGTTGGTGCTGTCTTCAGGGAGGTTTAGTCTTACTGCAGCTGTTACTTTGCAAACCATAGAGGAAAAGTATGATGAGTGAAAAGGATATAGGGCAAAAAAAACCCCATCATTCACCTCTCCTTATCTTAGCTGTGATTTGTCTTAAAAACAAGCAAACAAAAAAACCAACAACACAGCATTACAGTATGCTAATGTGTATATGGACTTTCTTAAGTCTAGGATCAGCATCAAGAAGTTTTTACTCTTTAAAAATCTAAGATCTTTGGTAGAGCGACTGGATAATTTTATGATAAGGAGATCAGAAGACAAACCTAGGAGACAATTGATCACATTTCTACGTCAGCAAAAGCTTTCTGCAAGAATGTCTGGCAAGGTCTTTTGAGCTTGTTTAACTTTAAAAGTGATGCAAAAATGGGAGAAGTGGGCAAACAACACACTTGCTTGATCATATTGATCAAACTTTTGGCTACTTGGAGAAAGACAATGACTTTGCTGTGCTCAGTGACAGAAAATAAGTACAGAAGTGAGGTAAGCCCTGGAGAACCAATTCTAGCCATAGTCTGTGGTGAATTCACTGATAGATATCTCAAATGCTTAACAGCAGCTGGAAAGCTCACCTAGAGTATCAGTGATTGCAGTGATGGGAACGAACAAAACAAGTTATTCCATCACAGAAATAAACTTCATGCATGGTATGTTTTAAATATACACAGTGGCATTATAATTTAAAAACAAACAAACAAAAAAAAACAACTACACAATACAAAAGTCATCTTCATCTCCATAAGATCATCGTCTTCTAAGAAGAGGCAACCAATACAGAACATTCTCCATTTTCCCAAAAGCATATGCTTAAATTGTGGAATTTGTTGCCAGAAGAGACCAAAAGTGTAAAAATACTCATGAAGAAGAATTAGAGATTTGTGGGAGAGCTGAGTCTTGTCCTTTTAAACACAATGTTTTATAAACAGTCTTCAACTCAAGGAATTTTTGATCTGTTGATTGGTTGAGACTGAGAGAATATACCAGAATAAGATTTCACACTGTTTCTTAAATTCCTTTTTCAAGTATCTGCCTTTAAGTGATATTGGGATATACCGAAGACAGCAGTTCAGGTGATGTTATGTTTATTAAATAGAGTATATTATATAGATATAAAACATAACATTTTATATTATATATTATGGTATAGTATATATATAATTATATAAAAAATATATTTAAGCCCATCTTGTCTTTTCCTTCTCCTTTATTACAGGTATTCAGAAAAGGACTGTAAGCCCCAAGAATAGAATGTCGTTAAGAAAATAGAATATTTTGTGTCCCCAGTTCCTCGTTCCTTTAGTAGGAAAGGTAGGAGGTGTTCAGTATCTCCTGCAGCTGGTATTTAGAGTGAGAAGCCAAATTATCTTTTGAGTGAAAAATGCTTAAACAGATTCAGCACTTCCTTTTTGACTAATGCATATGTTTTTATTATTTAATTATTTAACTATTTAAATATTAACTATTATTTAAATATTATAGATTTCATCCATAATACTGTTCAGTTCTAGCTTTGAATTTAGCTAAGCAAGATTCAAATCTTATATATTCCATTTTTGTATGGATATATTTTTGACATAGAACTTAAAAGCTGCCATTAAGTAAGAACTTATGTTACAAAGTGATGTTTATATGTATTTTTCATGAGAAGTTGTGAGACAGTATGTGTGAAAAACAGGAAATGTCAAGAACTACTAAACAACACTGACTTTTCCCACGTAAATAGAACTCCCTGGAAAGTTCTGTAGCTAACAATTACAGAACTGCTAGTTGCTGGTATACCTATACTTACCACTTTAGTCAGCATTTTTGAAACTGTGCTTATAAATAGGCACACTGTGTCTGGATTCAATTAGATTACACAGATACGCAGTCACAAAATTAACTTTAAAATCCTTATCCCTAGAAAAAGGAAATTCTTGTGCTTTGTGGTAATTTCTCATTAGATAATTTATCTTGGTTTTGTGGTGGTTGTGCAGTTTGAGAAATGAGTGTCAAAACACTTTTACTGTGTTATTCTGCCAATTTTGGCAGTACTTTGGTGGAACAAGCAGTTGTCAGATTTCATAGAGCTCTTGAGAGATTTCTGGAGGCCAGATTATTTTATCATGTATATTTCTGGTACCATTGCTTGACTAGCAGTGCAGCTCTCATTCTTTGTTTTAGACTACAGCTATATACCAGGGAGATTTAGTAGGGGCAAACAACTACCAGTCTTCTGAGCTAATGTTTTCTACTGCTAGAAGAAAAATATCGCCGCCAAATATTTCCACTTTCTGGACTGGAAAATGCAGCCTTTCCCAAACTCTTTTTTTTTGTCCTACAGTTTTAAAAACATTCTGAAATTGCCTCAGCACCTTAGCCCATAGCTTCCTGCCAGGGCAGTCAGTTTCCCATAAAGTGTTCAGGTGCGCATCTAGGGACAACAGAGCAAAGGAGATTAAACTCTCCTTTCTCAGTCTTGCATCTATTGATCATTGCAAACAAATAATTGCTGTTAAACTAGGGTGTCTTTTGGGAATGTTACTAGACTTTGTTTCTGTGTCATTTGTTTTTTGTTCTTTCTAAAGTAGGTAACTTATTTTTAAATTTTAGCATGCTTCCTATTTTAGAGTTATATTCTCCCTGTTGCCAATATAGGGTATTTGGTAAACAGTCTTTCTAATATTTCTGACACAGAAATTATAACCGTAGCATCTAGGCACATACAGGTTTGTATTCTTATACTTAAGTTTGTCTTTTTCTGATCTCCTAAATTATTTATACAAGTGTGATGGACTAACTAATTTGTTGGAATGGACGAAGGGTTAATTGTAATTAACATTCTTTCCTTGTGTCTTTTTCAAGGCTTTAAGCTATCGTTGTATTGTGCAGGCATAATACAGTGGTGCAATGTTTTTTCTGTGTTAAGTATTCTAGTTGAATGCTTACCAAATTTTTAGATCTGCCATTCTTTCTTTATGAGTATTACCTTCCATAGGAGAACTTGACTTCTCCCACTTTCATTGTCTTCCTAAGAACCTGCTGTAAGAGTGCCTGTGATTGGGTTCTTATGAGATAGTTGTATGTTACAATCAGTGAAGCTACTCTTACTGCTCAATTCAGTTAAGGAAGATGAATATTGGAATATCTCTTAACTGGAATTCAGAGCTGCATCACACACAGCTCAAATAATGCTTCAGAAAGGTAGTGTGTTAGAGCTCGTTAGTTTTGTGGCCTGAGACATTGTTCCTGTTTGCAGGGCATTGATGTTGTCCAGGATATCCATTTTGGAGATTTAATTTTTGTTTCTTACTTTGCAATACTTGGCAGTTTGGACAGTGTGTTAGGCTTTCTTCTTATAAGATGAAAACTGTTTCTTTGATTTTTGTCAGTGTTGGTTTTTTGGTTTTTTTTTTTTTTTGATCTGGGAATAAGGGTGACCATTTCTAGGTATCTTTTATTTGCTAAGAGTCATATTGGTCACTCTCACTGTTATGTTAGAAGCTTAATTACTCTCATTAGTCATTTTGCTGTTTTTGATTCCTTGTCCTGGCCCAACTTGCAAAGATTGACTGAAAGAATTATTATTCCTCCCTGAAAAGTTTTTCTTTCCAAAGCAAGTAGTGAAATTTGATATGTACTGGCTGAACAAGCACCAGATTTGTGTATTCAACTGGCTAAACTATAGACTTTCCTTTTTGTCTCAAGCTATAATGCTAGTATTGTCATTCTTTTAAATCTCCAGTCTTGGTAAGGATGTGATGCCAGAAAACGTGTTCTGTTTTGGAAGTAGTGTTTCATCTGCCTTTCATCTGTCGTACGATTTAAAGATTGCTAATGGTAGTGCTTTTTAAGCAGTCCCACTAAATACCTGTTGGACAGCACTCTGCATTCTGAGACAACAGCATCTGTATTCTGTGAAGTTAGGTTCAAAAAAACATCTCGTACTACCATCATAACGTTGAACATATCTCAGTATTGCATGGGGGCTGTCTTGTTTTATCAGCATTAAATGGAGCAGTGTTACACAGAGTTTAAAGAGAAACTGGTTGGAAAAAAAAAAAAAAAAGAGTATTATTACCATTAGATCAACTTATAATTAGTTCTTGTACAGCTTTCTCCATATTGCATTTATTTGTAATGTAAATGGATATTCAGGTTAATCTCTGGTAGTGGTCTTGCATGTGTTTATAGAGTGACATAAGTGTGTGCACTGTTAGAATATATATATTTTTTGTCCTCTAGACAAAAATGCTAGTCCTAGTGCTTTAGGAGCTGTATCCCATAGTGTATAGATACTGAGAGAGTTTCCAGACACAGTAATCTGTGCGAAAGAACAGACACAGTTAAGCAACCCAGAGATCAAGGTGGTAGTCATTGTGTTTAATGTGAATAACCAAGAGAAATGTTGTATATGACTGTATTGTTTAATATTTCCTAACTAAAACAATATTAAATTTTTCTCTTCTTTGTTAATCTAAGGTTATCTGGCGTTTTATCACTTTAAAGAGTCATAGCATCTGGTGATATCAGCTCTTACAGCTGAGCTGGCCAAGTAAATAAAGTCCTGTGAGTACAGAACAGGTATACTGGGCAATTTATTTTCTTTTTTAGAGAGAGATTGAGTTAACATAGTGGTTGTTTGAGTTGTTGGGCTATTAATGTGTGCCTTGATACAAACTTTTGATGTCTTGGGTAATCTGGGTGACTCATTCCCCTGACTAAAACGGGCTAATAACACTTTCTAATGTTACTCGGTGTGGGACAAAGAAATATAGTGAGTACCATGACCAATTAGAATGGTAGGGTACCAGGACAATGCAGAAACTTAGAATAACTTTCCTGGGAACTAAGCTGTTTCACTGGGAGGACAAAGATAGATGATAAAAATGAATTCTTCATGATTAATTTTGTAAACTATCCTTTTCCTAGTAAGTGTTACTAATGAATATGTGTCAACACCCCCCTGATCTGTAGTGACTATTCATGTATTCATGAATATTATTGGTAGATAACAGTATTTATGAAGAAGCCTTTGTATTACAAAGCTTACTATGCTTGATTAATTACATCCAGCTAGTGTATACAAAATATTCTTGTGCAATTAGGGAATAATACAATCTGATCAATTGTCAATAACTGATATTTTTCTTTAATGTTACTCAAAATTGAAACCTTTGGTAAAACTACCTAACAACAAGCTTTACAGCCCTAGAATATCAACAGTAAAATCATAGCTTCCTTTATAAAGCAGAGATCAGAAGCATAATAAAAATATTTCTATTACTAACTTCAGTTCTCTTTTAGCAGTTCAAGGAAGTTCGTTTTGTGCAGGGAAGTTACGTGTAGAAGAGGGAAAGCAGATCAGTTTGCGTACTTCTTTCACATCCTTCTACGGTTATTAAGGCATAAAACCACTACCTCAGCAGTGCTGTAACACCAGATTCTTTTTGCTTTTGTTTTCTTACAGCTTCTCAGTGGGGAAATGCAGGCAGTGAGGCCAGTATGAGGGCTTAGTAGTGAGGGGACTAATCTTACTGGCAGGTTTGTTATGCTAAAATATCACAGGCTGGGAAGCATCAATCTTTTTGGGTACAACTCTTTTCCTCTCCTATCCACTTTTTCTTCTTCAGATTTCTGTTGAAAGCACAAATCACTTGTGTTTACGTGTCAAATCTAGACCAGAATTTTTGAAATACACGTATGGAATCAATTGCATGATGGTTAGTCTCTGCTAGTAGTCATCATTTTCGATAAATTAGCAGATGATGTCCTACTCAGTATTCCATAGTTTCAGATTGTCAGTGTTCTTATACAAATTGAAAATGCACGTATTCTGGGTATTTGTGACATGTTCTAACAGCTGTTGAAAAACAAGTTTTAGCCTTAATGGTTTTTTCATTTGGCATTTTCAATGCAAACTGACTCAAAACAGCCAGAGGTATGCTTCATTTCAGTCTTATCCTTAGAGAGTACTTTATCTTGTTTGGAAGGTTAGTGCAAAGTTCTGACACTGGTGAGCACAAGTGCAGCATAGTCTATCTTCTGATATGCAATTAGAATTACTTCAAAATAATTTTTTGGTCCTGGAGATTCAGAAGCATACTTTTATTGAGCATACAATATTCAACTTCCTTCATATAGTTAAATTTCTGGCCGTTATATTGATGAATTTGATTTGCTGTGGTTCAGTTCCTACCCCAAATTCAGTTTTTCTCAGTCCCCTTGAAACTTGAATGAGCTGGTATCTGATTTTAATCCTTTATTTCTTGGGGAGTTGTTCTTAGTGACGATATTTCTATATCCTCAAAGATGCAGATGACATCAGTTGCAGTATGTTAGAGAGGAACTTGGCAAATCTCTTCAATATTACATGTCTTCAGTGTAGGACCAGTTCAGAGTTCTGCAGCTGTATCAATTCTTCAAGAATTGAGACGTTTCTGTCCCAGACCTGGAAAGATTCCGCATCTATGGTGAGTACCTAAAGACTGAATGTGAAGGATTTTGTTTACAATGGTTTCCAGCAGTATAGTTAGCAAACAGCTGTATTTAAAGTAGCAAGTCTCTTAAAAACTCACAGATCTTTTTGTAGGGACTTCTGAACCCAGCTAGAATAGCTAGGAAGAATTAGAGCAATAAAAATTCCTCCTTTGCAGTATCTGCATATGTAAGTATTGCATGCAGAATTTAAGATATATATAAATAAATCTGAGGGCTTTACAAAAGTGTGTAAGTGTTCTTGCAGAGAGAAATTGCACCGTCAAAAGTTGCAATTTTTTGAAAGACAAAGCAGAGTTAGATGCCATTGCTGTTGTAATGCAAGTGTAAGGTATCAGTTGTTCAGGAGTTGTTCTCACTTCTTTTGAAATGCCTTGTGCCTCTTGATATTCTATATGCGTATGTATGTTTGCTCTGCATTTCTTCTTAAAGTCCTTATAAGTATACAGTATTTGCCCAGCTTCCTTGTGCTCTTTCACCCAGCCTGATAGTGACACGTTACAAGCCTGCCCACTCACTCTCCAGGATTTAATTTAACTTTTCATGGGCTCTTAGTTTTTGCTCACCTTCCCTATTGGAAGCATGTGAGAGATTTTCTTTCTCAGAGAGTTTTTAATGCTCTCATTGTGTGACCTACTCCTGGAAATCGCTTGCTCCGTATTAGCAGATGCCTGAAGCCACTGACATTAGCATCCCAGACTTGTAGTGAAGGGAGATTGCTGCCATGCAAAGGGAGGGGAGAAAGAAATGGAAAATTCCTCTCAGTGCCTCCCTTGGAAAGGCAGCCTTCTCATAATGAATCACCAAGAGAAGTCTCCATGATGATGGATGGGGACCAGTGGGGGTGGCAGGAGAGAGTTGAAGGCAACAGGGAGTTATTCTCAAATTATTCTTTCCTGACAAGGTAGAATAACAGACATATAGGGCTTGTGCATCAAACTACTGCCTCTTGCACTCTGCTCATTACAGAAGCACCAGCATTCCTCATGGGCTGGGGCAGGACTTGGGTTATCATACCCTAAGACAGTGGCTTTAACTGTCACCTCCCATTGTGGCAATGACAAGATGGCTGGGTTTTTTTTTTTTGTGAAGTAAGGGAAAAAAAGAACACAGACAGTGAAAGAAGTCAAGCAGCCCTGCTGTGTGTGCTTCACATAAAAGCTGCACAGTGAGCAATCACAGTACCTAGTAATCTAAGCATATGGATTTTAGGAACCTAATGTACTGAACTTGAAGATTTCCATTGTTTCTGGTGGTTATATGGTAAATGCCAAAAAAAAAAACCCACCACCTTCTTCCTTATCTTCTCACTTAATTGATGCTTCTTCCTATTCTGTTTCATCTGTTCTATGTGATACCTTTCCATATGAATGAATCCTGTTAATCTTGCAGTAGAACAGACTTCATGTGCTCATCAAACTTACTCAGAGTTCAGACTACTTACAGCTGAATAAATATTGCATTCTGGTGATGACTGGCTGTTCACCATGATGCTGCCTTACAGAAAGGAACTTTGCTATCTTGACAAATGGAAATTTTCCTGTTGCTGAGTCCTCAAACTTCTTTGCCTTTGGGTCTAGGTGCAAACATAAATATGTGCATAAATGTGCATTAATAGTGTGTTTTGCATTCTTGTACATTATGTGCACGTTTGAGAGTGCATCCAAGGAGGAAAAAGGCATATATCTAAGTGCAGAAGGAGAATTGATAGTCCAGGCAAACAGGCCACATCCCTTTGCCTGTTATGAGAAGCCAGGGCCATTGTACATCTGTTCACTTGCTGTAATGTTCTTTTTGTCATGTTGCAAAGCCTCACTTGTTGGATGTGTAATATCCTTATATATTGTTATAGTAATGATTTATTGCTATTTTGTGCAAAACCTTGCTAGCTTTCTGTGAGCTGCTTTGTATAAGCAAGGTTAAGTAAAGTTTTCTTTGTGCAACATCAGCTGCTTGTTGTAACATAGCTGAGTTTTAGAAATCTTCAGTTATTCACATATTGGTCTTGTGAAAACCTGAACCTGATATTAAATGGAACCCAGATTCTTGAAAATCTGGCCTCCACACTCAGTGTTAAACACCTGAAAAATTGGACTTGAGCTTGGAAAATTTGTCCTCATAAAGATCAGGATTTACATAGAGCGTGTTTGTAAATGGTTTCAGTGGGAAATGCTGGCAGAGCCATCCCTCTAGAATTAATTGTTAACCTGTTTTGCATGACACCCATTCTGCTGGTGCAATAGAACAAACCTAAATGGAACAGGTCATTCATTGCCCAGATTGTCATTACTGATTCCCCTTAGCTGATAGGGTGAAAAAAAAAAAAAAAAAAAAAAAAAAGGTGTCTCCTGCATCTGTTTTCATTCTGAAATCTTAGGTAGGCTACAGAATCCTTTTAAAGTCTCTGCTGCCTGTTTCAGATTTCATTTTCAAGGGAAATCTTAACAAGTTCATATATTAGCAAGCATGAAGCTTTCCCCACACTGTTTTAATGATTCAGCAGGATACTTATGCAGATGATCAGAGGCTCCATCGGGTTGAAGATAATGTTATGACTCCTAGCTTAAGCTAGGCATATGCCTTAAATACCTTAAATACTTTATTCAGATCTGGCTTGAAAAAATTATCAGGTACGATCAAAACATCAGACTTGAATCCAGTCAAAGACCTGAAGGCTTTCTGTTGTGTTGCTATTTTGTTTTATTAAATCAAAATTAAAAATACGTCCTGTTGTTGGAAAGTCTTAATCAGGTTAAGAAATACCAGATAATAATGATAGAGGTACTTCAACAGAAAGGTGAGGGAGCAGAAATCAAAAAGGAAATAGAGAAAGGTTACCCACCAGTGATGTGTTGAAGGGATGTAAACAGCCTCAGTAATATTCACACAGGCCCTGGAATTGCTCTCATTCACATAACGCGTCCTACTTGTAAGCAGTTACTGTCAGAGAGAGGAGGAGCCTGTCTTGGCTGTAGTTGCTGAGCTGCAGTCTACAGCTAGATAATGTTTTGTTTCAGGGATCTGCTCTGTGGGAGGTACTGCTTGTGCAGAGGCTGTCTTTGCTCTTGGCTTTAGCAGTTGCACAGCCTCCATGGAAAAAAATTATCTCATTAGCTCTTGGTGAGGAGATGGTGTGCAACCAGAGCAGTCCATATGTGCACAGCATGGTCTATACAATTTGTAATTGCTGATTGCTTTTTGGCTGATGTTGAAAACCTGCCTGTCAATCCCCAGTTAGAGTGCAAAACAGTAAGTTATCCTCCCTCATCTCCAGTCTAGTTCAGCACAAGCTCTATCGAAGAGACTGTAAAATCTCACTGCAAGAGAGGTTCATAACCTTTGGTCATATACAGCTCTCGAGAAATATAAATTAAGTTGCTGAAGGATCATCCTGTAGTGAAATTCTGTGTATGAGTGCACACATACTTAATGCATTTCAGAAAAGCTTTTTCTTCTCCTTTTTTTTTTTTTTCTTTCTTTTTTTTTTTTTTTTTTTTTTTTTTTTTTTTTTTTTTTTTCCTACATTTTTTAATGGCCTTTCTTTCCTTCTGTGTGTGTTTTGGTTTGGTTTGTTTTTTTTTTTTTTAATGCTATAACCATGGAACTTGGTAAGTGGAGTGATTTCTTATACCTAGGTATAGTACAGGTACCTACCTGGGTACCTAGGTAGGTACATCCAATGTAGTGGTGTGCTTATAATCCATTAGTAACAGCTATCCAAGCATGCTTTGAAAATGTACTTGGAGCAAAAGCTGTTTTTCATTTTACCTTTAAAAAGGAGAAGTGTTAAGGAAGTTGAAGTTATTTTATTTTCACCAAGACGATTAAAAGCTTGGGAAGCTCATAGCACTGAAAACAGATGGGTATGCAGAAGAGAGGTAATAAAGTAGAACAGATCTTATATCCAGATTTGTCAGTGGGTGAGTCAAAATTGTGAGATTTAGAACGGAATTATGATTCGGAGTGCTCAGTCCCAGCCATGGCTCCTTCTCAGGCCTGTCCTGCAAGAACCCAGTTTTCATGTAATACATAGTCTCTCTTTACATGCCTCCTTTGCCTGTGTTCCCAGGTGTGTGTGTGGTCCTGAAAGCAGAAATGATACTTTTAGAAAGTGTGTGCAATACATTGTATTCTCTATTACTACAAGCGGCAACTGATTTATTTTTCTGACACCTATGTACTTCCAAACATAATGACATGACAATTAACCATAAATGGCACATTGTCTGAAGCCAAATTTAAAACTCTCATGCAGGAGAAGGAAGGAAGGAGAATCTAAACTTCATATTTCCTGCATTTCTTCAGGATTATCTCCTCAAAACTGGAAATCCGTGTCTTGAACAAACTGAAGAGTGTGAACCTGCTGATCTCTGATATACTGGTGTCCTTCCCAAACCAGATAGTAAGTAGTATGTAAGATTCTCTATTTCTGTACATTTCCAAGCACAACTACCCCTGCTTTGTAGTAGGATGGTTGTAGATGACAGTCTACTCTACAAGCAACTAGCTTTACACACACAGTCCTGCCAGAAGATGCTCTCACCCACCTGTACAAATGGCAGCTATTAAGAGTGAATACTGGCCAGATCAGCAGTAATTCCTGTGCTTTTTGGAATCACAGTTCATTACTGAGTTGGCTCATTATGACACTGTGCTTTATAAAATTAAGCCAAATGACTTTGTTGGAGAATGGCATACAGTTATCCAGAACTCATGGCTGATTAGTCAAGACTCAAAAACAAAGAAGCATTTCAGCAAAGACCGAAGTTAATATCTGTTTATTGGAGGAAGACATCTTTCTGGAGATGTCTTCAGAGTCTCAGTGATGATGATATTCTCTAGAGCCAATCTGTCTTCTGTCAGGGTTTTTGTTTAAGATTAGGATTCATGTGTATGCTGTGTACTGCAGCATTTCTGTTTTGATTAGATTGAGTGTGTGGGAAACTCTTTGTACTTGCAGGCTGCATTATTAAGGTGTGATAATTCATCATCTGAACTGTAAGGGCATTATCTGAACTGTAAGGCTTTTCTCAGGGGAAATCTGAGATAGCAAGGTAAATTAATGCTTTCTTTGCAGATTCATTATACAAAATTATGCTTAATTAAGAAGAGTAGTTTACTGTAGCTTACTCCAAAAGACCCAGTGCTCCCTGTGGACTTCTTGAAATATCTGTAGGGTTGAAGAATATTGACAGTGCTGGCAGGATTTGCTGGCAGATACTCTTGGGAGAGTGAAAACTTCAGACTCATTTAGAGGGGAGGATTAAGAGAGAACCCAGAACCTGGAAAGTCAAATAAAATATTTATGTAGGCATTCAGAGTGTACAGTCTTTTTTTTTTCTTTTTTTTTTTTTTTTTTACCATTAATAGAATAAAAAAGTAAATTGAGATCTTTCTTCAGTATTCAGAAGACTTGTAACAGTTAGACTGTAGGGATCTGTCTAACTGTGGAGAACATATAGGAGCAACTTACGATGTACCAAGAACAAAAGGATTAACTTCAAGTGTTGCTGAACAAATTTGTTACCAGAAACTCTCAACTGAATGCAAGTCTGGAATGCATCCGTTCTCCCAGTACTGGGATAGTGTAATTATTTGTTTAAGAGGTATTCATGTGTTTACTGCCTTTACTGAAGCTGATGTTTGCTTTGTAGTGACCTACAGGTAGATCTGGCCTCTTTGTGAAATCTTGAGTGCAGCCATGCGTGAATGAGGCACACTTTTCCTTCAGTGAGCCAACAGCCTACGTTCTTGGAAACCATTTGAAGTATGCAGTGCAGTACACTTCCTGCAAAAGAAAAGACTATCAGATACATACTTATGCCTGTGTGGACAGTTGTTTTACGTGACAATGGTACTGTAGCACACTTCACATGCGCATATTCTGAGAAATAAGCAATTCATTTGTTATAATGTAGCAGATTCTTCCTTTCAGATTCTTTGTCTCCATTTTTGCAGCCATCAGTTATTTCATTTATTGTTTATTAGATGTATTGCAAATGGCAGCATTTTGTTATTTTATCAGGCCTCGGGTTTTCTTTTTATCCAGCTTTCATATTCTGCTGTTCCCCTTACTGCCTTTGGGATTTTTCTGGTTATGTTCATTCCTTGTGGCTCTTACTAATATTCATGGTAATTAAAAATTTATGAGAAAAGACTGTTTGAATCCGGTCTGCCCCTATAGGAACATAGGAGATTAGACTCTGAAGCTGGTAGTAAATAACATTGTGTTTGTTTTTTTTTTTTTCCTAGAAATTTGAAGACTGAGCTGTAGGAGGAAACTTGGCAGTGTGCTCCAGTGTCTGATTTCTCTTTTTCCTGCTTTTTAATAGGATAGCAGTCACGTATGTTCTGCATGACTTCAGTACGTTGTTAGGACTTGATTTTCTGTCATTGCTCTGATATGCTGCTGCTCCTGCAGTCAGTTCTGCTGTTGTTATCTCCTTCATTTTGTTCCCCGGGGTTGTTATTTCTGCAGGTTTTGGGTACCTGCATTTATGACATTTCTCAAGTGTATTTCAGGGGGTGTATTTTAATGCAAGTCGGTGGGGTGAAGTAATAGTTTGTCATTTGATATGATGATTTTGGCAGAGTTCTCTGAGCGTGAAACTATAATAGACTGGATATTAAGGAGCAGTGTTGAAGTTTCCTCACGTACTATGAAATGATGTTTGTGTGAACTGTGAGAATCCTATTTCTCAAGCTGTGCTGAGCTGAAGATGCTAAGCTTCACTTCCTTTTCTTGCAACTAGAGAGACAACATGAGCAAGTGTTTTGGAGAGACTGAAAGTGTATTCTTGCCTCTGCCACTGAGTTGAGACTGCTCTATTGGCTTAATCAAAGCTTTGTGTTTTTTTCTACTGTACTCCTGAGTGCACTCTTTAAAAAACCGTCTGGGAGATGGATGTGTTTTACTTTATGTTCAGATGAGATCCAAGTGCAATTGGTTTTTGGGTTGCTGTTGTAGTTAGAACAATAAATATATTACATTCATTATTTAATATATTAATGCAGTTTCAAGGTGTTTACTTCTGTTCTGCTAACTGTATTATGTTTTCCTGGGAACCTGTAAATTAGTATGTCCAGCAATTAAGTACGAGGACTATCTATCTACTCATTGATTAGTACTTCATTAGTATGGTTTGTAAGCAGAGAAATATAGCACCGCTGGTTAAATCATCCTGTTGTTTCTGTGGAGAACCTGAACTATACATTTACCTGTTTGTTACACTACCTAACAATGTAAATATAATGGTGCTAGCTTACAGCTGTGGCTGTCACAGAGATACTGACTGGGAATCATGGATGCAACAGAAGGGTGTTGTCCCAGCCAGGACAGGTAAAGACAAAGCAAATTTCTTGATCTAACAGCGCTTAGGATTTTTGGAAGGAAGATTTTACTCACATTCATCAAGTGCTCAACGCTTTAACCTTCTCTTATTGACGTGCTACAGAAGGGATCCTGGAGGTGTGCTTTTTAAAAGAGCCGTGTCAGAGGTCGTTTAGACAGTTCTTTGGTAATCCAAGAACATTAAAAGTTACTTCCAGAAACCAGTCACCTTTTCAAAGTAGTTTGGGGATGAGAGAGTGCTACTGTTGAGCAGAGTAAATGTGTGAGGTAGGGAGGGAAGCTGTCTATTGTGTGTTACAGGCAGCGTACACTCAGGAGGACTGAGAGCTTGCATGCTGTTTCAGTGGCAGGTCCACAATGAGCTCATATATTCAAAGATCAAACTGTATATGTATACTGAAAGCCTTTCTTCTTGCCTTTTGTCTGGTTTTAGATATGTTTAATTAAATTAAGAATCTCTCTTGCAGAAGTTAGATATTGTTCAGACATTGGGCTAGATCAGTAGCCTCTCCCAGCAGGCAAGCAGAGCTTTCCACTGGCAAGCAGCTGCAGTGCCAAGTTGTGTCTGGCTGTGCATGTGCTGCCCACCTCATTTCCCAAAAGTAAAACCATGGATTGACACAGCTGCTTTAATCAGGTGTAAGGGTGGAAGTGTGATGATAAGTACATTTCCTCTGTGGCTGTGCCAGTGCTGCTTTGTGGAAAAATACGCCCACTCTGATTGTAATAAGAAGCATCATAAATCAGAATTACTATTAAAGCAGAACTGAGTTTAATTTGGCTGAGAGACAGCGTTTTATACAAATGGAGAGCTTTCCCATGAGAGATTGAATTACTCCACACTAGAAAATCCCTTAATTTTTTTCAGTTTAAATTTTTAAAGTAAATGGTGAAGTAGTGGAGCTCTAGCTAAACGTGCTAGTGCTGGGTGAGACCCACCAATTTAGTTTCCTTAGGAATTGTCTCTTGACACTTGAAAATAAGCTTGTTTTTGTTTTGCAGTTCTTCTCTTGAAAAGGGTTTTTTCAAAGGTGACAGCTTTTCAATATTTATGAAATGAAGTTGTCTTTATTTCTAAGTCCACGAACTCAGGAAAGAGCTCTTTCAAGACTAGAAGAATATAGCTGCTTTATAATTTTTATATTTTACTCTAACCATAAGGGAACTGTATGCACACACTGCAGAGGGGAGATGGTGTAACCTTCTCCATTATATCACATTTGCACCCTGAGACCTTGCCATTGCATTGCCCTTGTCTGCTGGAGGTGCTGTGTAACTGTGTGAACAGACAAATGGAAATCAGTAGGCGCCGAATTTGTTTGACATGGATGAGCTGTGTGATTCAGAGAGGGAGAACTGCAGGCATAAAGCATTCAGGAAATACAGTGAAGCAGTCAAAACTCAGAAGCATATTTAGATGTCAGCATCTCTGCCAGGATTCGATAACACGTACATGAAAATGGGCAAGGTTTTCCATAACTGAAGGTTTGTTGGACACATTGAGGGCAGGATTCAGAGCTAACTAGACTTAATTAGTTGGTTCTATCTTTGTAGTACAGACAGCAGCAGCTGGACCAAATGTAGCTGGTGAAACTCTGGAGAGTGACACAGAAACTCTACAGATACTATGCAGTGAATGAATCCTGGAGGTGCATTTTTAAAAAGACCCATGTCAGAAGTCTGTTGGGTGCTTCTCTGGTAATCTGAGAACATTAAGAGGCACTTTCAGAAAGTCACTCTATAGTGCAGCAGGGGTGAACTTGCATATCTCTTCCTGCACATATCAGTTTGTCTTCAGGTATGAGTTCTCTGCTCTGAGCTTAACAGGTTATTTCTGCAAACTGCTTCTCTTTCATTATGAACTTAATTGAGTAATGAAGACATTTTAAGGAATATGTAGATTACTGAATTATAAACATTTTCTACTATGAGACTCCACGTTTTTGCCAAGTAAAATATGTGGTAGTTAATTCTCCACAAAATATGTTGTTGCACCTTATCAGGGCAGATACACATTTTGGGCCAACCACTGTGAAAACTTAAAGATCCATTTGGAGAACAGATTAAGTATTCAAACCGGCCCAATGTTTTCATTGGCAATGTGATAACAGAGATAAACACTGTTATTGTTGAAGATACATCCATTTTTAAGTGAAAAATAATTCTTAGGGAAGATATTCTGAGGAAGAACGATATGAAACATGGATCTATTTTTGTTGTTTGGGGTCGGAGGGTTAGTGGTTGGTGACTTTTCTCATTTTGTTTTTGTTTTTGCTTCCTTTCCTCTCTCTGTCTTTCTCCCTTTCTTTTCACTTCCTGGCACTTAACCCTTCCTAAAGGATGTTGATGTGACAGTTCTGTCCTACTCACAACAGCTCCTATAATGCTGATTTCTGTTCTCAAGTATCTCAAGTTTCCAGTATCTTGAGTTTCCAGTGTCACTACTTTTCAGGATCAGGGGAGAGCAAGAACAGTAACTGGTTGAAATCAAATCCTGCCTGCATTCTGAAGAGTGACATTTTAGCATATGGTATGTTGTCTGTCACATTTCTCTAGGTGTCACAGCAAACTTGAGGTGCTTAAGAGTATTCCCTCTAGACCATGAGCAAAAAGAGTATCTGTCCTGTATATATTAGCCTTGGCCAGTCCTGAAATGAAATTTCCAATCTGGAGACAGACATTTGTATAATGATGGTTGAAGAGAGCAGTACTGCACGTGCTGTCAGCAGACTATACTGAATTTGTCCAGATGAAAGGTTTCTTGTGGATACTTTACAGTGTACCATTGTTAGAAGGTAGCTGCAAGTTACAGTAGTTTCTAATAGAACACTGTTTCCCTAAAAGGAATCTGTTCAGATGCAGCATATCCTAAAAAGAGATAAAAACATTTCTTTGGGATTTTTGTCTGTTTTTAGCAAATGTCATAGCAAGTGGGATTCCCCTGAATGGGAATCTACCTGTCTGTGTAGCAGATTATATAAGATAGCTCGTGGTTGAGTATGGCACAGTATAAAAGTTTATTAATTATTATTATAGTATCATCCTTAGACTTTTCAAAAGCAATTGATATATTGTATGGTATGGGGTATCCTCCATCAATTCTTTAGATGTTTTCTAGTCTGAGAGCCACAAGCCTTCTCTCCCTCTGCTTTATGACATTCCTTGCATCAGCACAAAGGTAGCATGAAACGCCCCCAAATCCAAAACTCAGCTCCTGGCATCGAGCGCATGCTGGTTCTAATAATAGGATGGCAACGAGTTGTGTGCAAAAGCAGCCTAAAGGCATTGCTAATCGGGCTACTGTCAGGCTTTGGTACATTGTGAAAATGCTGCTGAAGTGTCATGGGAGAAGTCTCATTGCTTGGCAATGTTTTGTGCAGTCTCTAACATTCTGTTACTTTATACATTACATCAGTGATATACTTTACATTAAGTTTTTAATATAAAATAGTGCTCTGTACCTGTTTAGTATTGGCAAAAACTTGGAATATGTGAAATCTGTGTAACAAAGAGATGCAATACTGATGGTGGTTGCTTATGTACATTAGCTGGATGTTGTCATTTGTCCTCATCATTTTGTTCTTCTTTCTGTAGCAGTCCCTGCCTCTGATTCCCCCAGGGTGTGGGAAATAGAAGTGATATTTGGGAATGGGTTTGGTAATAAAACAGCAAGGTGTAGCACAACTGAAATTTCTAAAGCAGCCCAGCAATAGGCAAGAAACTCAGCACAGGCACCTGTCTTCCTGGTGAGCCCTGCCTGAACATTCCACTGCCTTTTTGCCAGCACAGCTTGCTTAAGGCTGGCCCAGCCACCTCACTTCACTGTTACCTGTGGTGACAGCAGTACCCTGGGATGCCTGCCCTCTGCTCCTCACAGGGCTGGCTGTGGGAATGTGCCACTAAGTGCAATGGTAACACTGCCTGGCACTCTGTGGCTGGCTGAGGCAGGAGGAGGCTGCTGTATATGAGAAGCATCAAAAATGGCTTGGGAACAGAGATAATTGATTGACCCAGGGAGATTAAAAGAATTGAGTCTGGACAGACAATTACGATGGGGCAAGGCAAGGCAATGGAGCAGAGACTGTTACAGAGGAAACTGGCAGGATGAGCTGCTAGGCTGTGCAAACTTTCTGTGATTTTGGCTTAGAGTGGGGTGAGTGTGTACACTGCATAATGTTTAACTAGCTCACATTTTGTTTCTCTGAACTCTAATAAAACATCAGGAAACTGAAGGCTTCTGCTAAAATGAAGGGAGCCTGACAACCTGCTGAGATGTTGCACCTGTGAGCTGGGGAAAAACTGCCACAGAAGGTTTCTGTTCCTTAGACACACTGGTACGTCACAAAAACACTGGTGCCAGGGAGAGGTTGAGGCCCTGGATTCTTCTCAAGCAACCTTCGTATACATATCTAGTGGCATCATGCCTTTACAAAGAAGAGACTGCATCTTGCCGTGTTTGTTGCCTGCCAGAGCAAGTCTGCCCTCCCTGCCCTCACATACATAAATATTTGTGGTTGTTTCTGAGTCTCCAGAGCTCTGCACCTTGTGGCCCTGCAAGCGCACACATCAGCAGTAGAGCAGAGGAGGACAGCCAGCTGCAGATGTGCTCTGGCAGATAGCAAACATGGTAGGAAGCAATTTCTTCTGCATGATGGTGCGATGCCATTGCCTCATCTCTTGGATCAGGCAGCAAATGAATGTAAAAGGATGGGAGAAAGGAATGGGGTCAGGAGCTGGAAGCAAGAGGTTGATTGCTTGGGTGTGCTCTCCCCAAGCAGAGACTGTGAGCAAGCAGAAATAAATTGTGTTTGTGAATAGAAGATAGATGTGGTCTGACCTTGCTTACTGAGGAGTTTAATGAAGGTTTAGAAAGCGACATCTGTGGATGAAAATATTTGCCTAATTTTGATCTTTGTTTTTCTTTACATATTGCTAGAAAAAATGTTGCTTTGGATTTTTGACCAGGGAATGAGTACAGAGGAGAGGGAACAGCTGGCTGCTCTGGATTCTGTATTTTAACCAAGCTTATATGGACTTAGAGCTCTCATTAGAGTTACCAGACAAGTAAGTCACAAGCTCAACTTGTCTGCCATCTCCTCAGATGAAGGGAGCAGTTGATTGTTGGAATGGCTGTGTTGGTGCCCCTTGCTCATTTTAAGTAACTTTATTTTTACAGGTACAAAAAATGTCATGATTACATGGATGGGCAGCAGTGCTTGTTCTGGCTCACTGTTTCTGCTTGTTGAAACATTGGAAGAGCTACAAATTTTTCTTTTCTTTTTTTAGTATGTGGAAGGTCTGAGTTGCAGCAAATGTACAGGGCTTGGACATTTCCAAGATGTGACAGAGCCTTAGGGCAAGAAATGAAAGGTTGTGCTCTGCTGGGCCTGAGCTGCTGCTCAGGGAGAACAAGGATGAAATAAGGGTTGCATAGGGAAGAACTTCTTATTGTTCTTCTTTTGACAGCTGGCTAATCTTTCTGAGTTTGGAATGCTTTAGTCAAGAGGCATAGATGGAGTAATGATGTGAATGTGTGGCTGACAGAATGCCCTGCTGCTTAATGGCTATTAAGAAAATACCACAGAATTTTTTTATTTGTTTTTGTTGTTGTTTTTTAATTAACTCAGTGTTGCAGGCACAAGGGGTGTGACTACAGCTGCGGGAAAGATTTCTGAGTTCGTAGTTCCTCAAGTAAAACATTTCTGATTGCTTAATATTTATCTCGATTAAATTGGCCTCTGGTGCCAGAGAAAACATTCTTTGGGTTCAACAGGTCCTGAGGCAAAGAAACTTTATTATGTTTTGGGCAGGATCTGTCAAACACTGCCAGGTACAGTGCTATATACCTAACCTGAATCTTCCTGGCAGATGAGGGCCTAAGCTAGAAAGCACGCAGCGAGGATGAAGGCCATGGTAGTCTGTTTTTCATCAAAAGCTTGAGATCACAGCAGCAACACAGAGCTGGAAGAGCAAGAGAAGTTTGGGGCTCTGAAACAAACTGGGAGGGTAAGACAAAAGTGCAGCTGAAGAACTTGGAGAGCCAGTTGAGGAGGAGGAAAAGATCAGGGGAAGAGGAAGGAAGCACACCTCCCCATGCAGAAGATAGAGAATTGTACTCTGATCTCATGTACTGCAAGAAGAGCATCCAGCTCCAAAGCTGATACACCATGGGCAAGACAAAGGAAAGTTCCAGTTCTGAATTTGCAGCCAGAATTCAGGAACCAGAGGAAGGAGCTCAGGAGGTTGTACCTTTCAGGTAAGGCTGAAATTTGAAACCTGCTTTTAGGTACTGTGCTGGTAGGGTCTATTCAAGGGCTTTGATTAAATTGGTGTCAGTGTGGGCTAGGCTGGGGGCTCTGCAGCAGGACTGTAGTGTGCTGAGAAGCAAGGCCCCAGGAACACTCTGTCTTACCCTGCTTTCATGGTTCAGTGGTGGTGCAAATGCTCTTTTAAGTCCTCATCCACGTGGTTACTGTGATGCTGAACCTGCTTATAAGAGTAGGAGGAGTTGTGGGTGAGGATGGATGAGCAGAAGGTGAGCAATGACACTGCTAAGAGCCTGGAGCTCTGCGGCCAATCCAAATTTAACCCTTTCCATTCCTGTCTGGCCCTCTAACCACCTGTTCAAGTCAACCAGAGACTGTATAATGATGAAGGCATCCTTTGATACATTATGTACTTTTTCTGCCTGTTTTATTTTGGTATTAATGAAATGTTTGTTCAAGCCCCACTTGCATATCTTCATTTGGAAAACAAATTAATCTATTCTGATAAAAACTGGCAGAGGAGCTCACAGTGAGCATGTGAGTGTGCTGACATGCAACTGAGCTGCCAGAATACTCAGATTCCACAACACTCCACAGAATGGCCTCCTGCTCCTTGTGGGTAATTAAATGTCACTCGGTTTTAGCAGTCAGTTTTCAGTGATGGAGTTCAGCCAATTAAAATATCTTCTGTGTAAACAGGATAAAACTGGTGGCATATGACAGGAGGGTGACTGAATTGCTCAGTTTAATAACACCTCTAACTGTGCAATAAAGGTGTCTGGTTTCTATGTAAATTGTTGTACACCACAGAACTGTTGGGTTTAATATTAGTGAGCAGTTTAAATGTTATAGAATCCTGTTTATACAATATGGGCTGCATTGCTTGAAAGGATCCCTTAGATAATGATGTGTATTTGATCTTGAATCATAGAATGCCTTAGGTTGAAAGGGACCTTAAAGCCCCCACCAGCTCAGGCTGCCCAGGGCCCATCCAACCTTGGGCACCTCCAGGGATGGGGTACCCACAGTTCTGGGCAGCAGTGCCAGCACCTCACTGCCCTCTGAGTAAAGAATTTCCCCCTAATGTCTAACCTCAGTCTTCCCTCTTGTAGTTTTAAGCCATTCCTCTTGCCCTATCACTGTCAGACTGTGTAAAATATCACTCTCCCTCCTGCTTGTAAGCTCCCTTCAAGTACTGGAAGGCTGCAGAGATCACCCCGAAGCCTTCTTTGAGCTAAACAAATCCCTCAACCCTTCTTCACAGAAGAGGTGCTCCAGCCCTTACAGTCATGTTGAAGAGAGCACACTTACTTCTGTGAGCTTACAAAAGAGGAGCTCCTACTTCTGTGCTTGGTATGAAGGCAGGGATGTGACAATGTGTTTCACTGTGTTGCTCTTACTGTTATTTAGATGGGAGAGCTGGCAAAAGAGAAGGCTTACTTATACTTGGCATCCTTATATGCTGATATTAAAATCCGCTGAATAAATGCCAACATTAGCTGGTGCAAAATCATAAAGAAGAGACTTGCTCTTTTAAGTTAACCAGCTTTTTTCCTTGAAGTTTGGATGTTGCCTTTGATCTGTTCCCAATCACATATCGAGATATTATTTGGGCTGCTTATCTCTTTCTCTGAGCAGTTGTGCTGCACATGTATTGCTGTGCTTGCCAGGGAACAAATTCATATAAAACCACACCGAAAGTGTTTCCTTTTCTGGCAGAACAGCTGTGGAGCTGCATTGTGACAAAGGACTGAGATGGATGAGTTTCAAGGCTGGGAGTCACCTGGGAGGAGCATGCTGATGAGGTGTTGATGGAGAGGTGACCATGTCACACCACTGCTTGGGCCAGGAGCATCCTACAGGTACAGTCAGAAGCAAAGCTGTCTGTCCACCTGTTGACTTCACCAGCTTGGAGGATCTGAGGGCTGTAGCCACGGTCAGCAGCAATGCTTTCCCCCAGGAATATGAGCAGGTGCAAGGGTCAGCAGCTACAACCCTTGGTAGATACCAGATGTGAGATAGATAGGGGGTTTGGATTCAAGCATCCTTAGGATTTCCTTCATGAGCGCTTTTGTAAGACCATCCTACTTCAGTGCACTTCAGTGCAACCTGCCCTGGCCATGGCTTTTAGCAGCTGGTTTTGTGTTTGCTGGGTCTGTTGTATGCATAGGTCTGCAAAGCAGCCACGCTTAGCCAGCTCTAACAGCTGAGAGGCAAACTGCACACATCCACCTGAGGCTTTGGCAGGATGTTACTGCAGGAGGGGGTTTGCTCTGTTGTCTGTCGCACTACTGTGTCCTCAGAGAGCACTCTTTCAGCCAGCACACCTCCCATGGCCTAAATCAGGGCTTGTGAGGTGGGGCAGTAGCTAAGGGAGGGGGGAGCTTAGGGTTAGAGCAGCCCATGTGTCACTGCAATCTCATGTCTGTGGCAGTCCCAAACTTCAGGACCAGCAGTGTAGTCACTTAGTGTGGGTACATGCTGTACCTTGCCTTCACAGGCGTTTGCCAAACGCAAACTGAAGCAAAAGGATTCTGGACGAAAGAAGTGAAACACTGGACTGCTGAAGTGCACAGTGAGGAAAAAACTGGGAGAAGAATGTGAAGGATTCCTGGCCTCAATAGAAGGTAAAAAGTCATAAAATAGCAGGGAACAAAAGCTATTGGAAAAGGGCCATAGTATCTGTTGTGCAAAGGAAAGCAGGATTTGACTGTGCCACATCGAGAGGGGCATCCTTATTCTGTGCTGGATAAATACCTGGCTTGCTCTCTCAACCACTTAATACTGACAGCCTACTGGGTACAATGCACACCTTAGAAATGTTCCTTTTGCTCTCAGGATGTGATTAGCAGCTGTGCTTCCTCCAGAAGTGGTTTGATAGCAGTGGAGACTTGTTCCTGGGACTTGAGGAATCCTGTAATGGCAGAACTACAGGGAAAAACAGTAAAGGGACAAAAATACTACAGAATAATGTTAAATATTACTAAAAGCAAAAAAAAAAAAAAAAAGAGTTGGTTGGATACTGTTAATTAACATGAGAACAGAGAATTATTTCTTTTTACCCAGAGAGTGCAGATCCGCTTTGCTTTGTTGCTTGTTATGTTTTTAAGAAAATGAGGGGTAGAGCTACACTGCCCATCTGTATTGAGCATGTGTAAGCAGATGTAAGCATGGTATCCCATCTGGCACTCTGGAGCAAAGTTAGACATTTCTTGGGAGAAAAATGGCAACCTAATGGGATCCTATCACTGCAATATCTGCTATTTCTTTCTAACACTGCAGGCTTACAACAATGCATATTGCTCATCTAGGATGGTTGTTGGTTTTTTTTGCTGTGGAAAAACTGCAGTCATAGAACTACAGAACATCAGGATAAACCAGCAGGTAAGTGCATTTTAACCTGCCAGGAAAACTCTGATAATTAGGGCTTTGCTGTATACATATGTGTGTATGTGTGTATTTGTTACTGTTTTACTGTATGGTATTTTTACATACTACCATACACATACATATAATATGTATGTATTTGGGGTTTAATTACATGATGAGAAGTGAGGTAGCAGGTTAAAAAGGAAAGTGGAACCAAAGCCTTGCATCTGCCCCTTCTATTGTAGTCATTTCCATGTCAGCAAATGCAATGTGTGTGTGCATGCTGTCACTGGTCAAGTATCTGTCATTTGTTAGCCTTTTTTACATCTTTGCTGGGGAAAAAGTTTTATCATGTCTTTTTAACACACAGTATTATACGCTGTCAAAAGGTCATATAGGTAGCTGTTTTTACGTTGCGCACATTTCTTCCACTTGCCTATGCATCTACAAGCAGGCTTTTATTTTTTGGCATCTATTTATTAAGGTCTGAACAGAAAGGGCAGTGATAAACTACTTTTTAAGACTAACTCAGGCCATATATATATTTTTTTGAGGCTTGCATGAACATGGCAGCATCTGCTCTATCTTGGCTGGCACAGAGGCACCTGGAGGAGCAGCATCACCCCAGCCAACCCCTCACACCTCATCACTTCAGAAACAGAGTGAGAATGGAAGAGAAAGGGACAACATGGTGGCACTGCAGAGCCAGGGCAAAGGTGAGTGACTTACAGCACAGCAGCTCTTTCAGTGCCAGACTGACAAGGCCTGTGTTACACTGTCAGTGCTCACAGTGCTTTAGTGTTACTTGTTTGAGTGTGAAGGTGAAGTACATGAAATAATTCATATACACAAAGACACTAACTCTTCCCATTGTTATCCGAGTACTTCCTTCTGTTTACCATCTATATTCATTCAAATTTGGGGTTCTAACGCCCATTTGTAAGTTGCCATTTTGTGGGCAAACCCCGATAAGCCTTACCTACTTACATAGATTTTTATTTCAACCAGTGAGTCTCAGTCTTAGAGTGCTGTCGTAATACATGGTGAAACACCACTTCTTCCACTGTATGAGAAATTGATCCAAGTGTGTTAATTTTGTTAGAAGCTCCAGAATGTAACAATTTGTGCTTCAGTGTGGAGACTGGGGTAGCCATTTCTAACATATACACTTCATATTTTGAAAATGCTTATTTACCTGTGAAACTGTTCTAAAAGCCAGGCTGGAAACTGTAACTCTTCCTTTCGAGTAATATATATACCACTCTCACATATTTAAGTGCACTTTTAATTTAAAATTTGATAATAGTTATGTATTTAACTACTACATTGCCATCTCTTGATTCATTCCATCGCAATAATGAGAGATTTGATCCAGAAATGAAAACAAGATATTCCCACTAGTATCAAGTAACAGCCTTCTTTACTGATTACTTTAAAATAAGGACAAGTCATTTCAACTATTCACAAATATTTCTTACACATTGCAAAATAACGTAAGAGAAGACAGATCATGATCATAATTGAAGCAAAATAGTTGCCAGAATTTTTTTTTTTTACAAATATGTGGTTTGCTTCCATTTCAGAATGTTTGTTGATGCATTTGTGCAGGAGAATATTGATCTGTTTGGTCAGATAGGCTTCTGCTGTACATACAATGCTGATGGTGTCATAAGGGACAAAGTGGAAAAATGTTCTTAAAAGGGTACTTTGGCAGAAACAGCCATTTGGAATATGGCCTCTCATGGCTGTAGCCTTGCTGCAAGGTTTGACTTAGTTTTAATGATAATTCTGTAACAAGATACGAAGTTGACATTTGTTTTACACTTTGTGTAAGTATTTAAAAGATCTGAGACCTATTTTTGCTATCTATAAATTTTTTAAGCTTTAAGGCTGTGCCACTAAGAACACCTTATCCATCTTCTGTCATCTTCCGAAATGTTGCTATTGTCAAATTTAGAATCCTTAACAGCAAAGATGATGTTCCTCGTCTAGAAGTCCTAAACCAAATGGAAGAATTCCCTGGGAACCTGCAGACCACGTGCATGATACAAAACTAAGAAAGTTAGTCCAAAGTTCTGATAAATATTTAGCGCCAGCAAGAGCTAACATTTGTTCTAGTTCTAAACAGTTAGATGTTTATTATATACAGAACACTTGTAGAATATGGACATTATACAAAGGTGACTCAAGGCATTTCACGGTCTGAATTGTTTGTACAGCAGTAACACAGCTGCCTTCTTTTGCTTTTGTATAGGCTCGTGCCCCATAAGGAAGGAATGTTCCTGGTGGTTCGATGGGCACAGTCGTACCGTCTGCCAGTGGCATTCTGCAGGCTGCGCAGGAGCTGCTGGCAGGATTGAGGGTTGGCTCCTGAGCTAAAGACAGACCTGTGCAGCATGATGAGGTGCCAGTTTACAGTAGGTAAGGATTTGGTCTTTTGCCTTCAGCATATTACCACATGAAAACTGTACCAGCACTTTTCAATGAGCACCATTAGCTGACTTTGGTAACCTATTTCTTGGCACGACCAGCGGGATCCCGCAGCGTGCTGAGCTCCTCTCCTGTGCAGTAAGAAAGCACAGACTGCCAATTCTCTTGCAACTAGAATCTGTAAATATTAAAAACATAAATATGTTAATAACCATACACATATACACAAAACACAGCAGTCGCAATATTACAGGATGCAGTGCCTACTCTATGTAACTGCTTTTTGATACAGATGCAAGACCAAAATAAATGCTGTTTAATAAGGAGCAACCCTTCTTCAAAGGTCAATGGCAGTGATCCAGAGGTCAGGTCCAGGCTTCAGATAGCTCTGAAGCCAATCCCACTGTCTATCAAATCTAATTAATAGAAGAGTAGCACTATGGGAAAATAATGAATATCTGTTAATACTAAGTCTTTCCAAGCCAGAGATTTCATACTGTTTGTAATTAATTCTCCCTTTTTCACAAGTGCTCTTTGGGTGAGTACTCGGGTTAAACAGGGGATAAAGTTACTACATACAAACTTTAGATTTAGAGGCAAGGATTAATAGAAACAACCAGCGCTGATTTACAGTTCCTGAATTCCAGGAGGATGTCTTCATGATTTTAATTGAAGTTTCAGCGAGATTGCACTTAGCAGACCACTAAGAAGTTGTCATTCACCATTGTTTTTCCTTTTTCATGCAATTCTGTTTCAACGCTCGGTAAGAATAGCACAAGAAGGGCTGCAGGAGTAGGCTGTGCTACTCCACTGTCTTTGCTAATGCTCTTCAGAGCAGCGTCCTCTTCTCAACATCACATCATCCAGTCCAATGTCCCCAGTTCTTCCTTTTGCTTTCTCTCCTTTGAAAATAACCTGGGAAAACAAGCAGAACAATTGGAGTGCCAAAATAAGATGGAAGAATCTTTGGTTAGGAGGGCAACTGTGTAACAGTAAGAATATAAAAGCATAAGAAAGCTCAGCCAATCTATTCTGCTTAGAATTATTGTTGCTTCTCTGATCCTCTTCTCTTTGGCAGGATCCCCATTGAAGTGCCAGCAATTCAGGACAGAGCTATGACACAAATCAAGGTGTTAGTTGAAGCTTTGTTCCAGGTGCCACTGCCAAGGTGAGAATTTCCATGTGAGAGTCTGTGGTGCTTTCTCTAGCTCCTTGCTGCACTGTTCTTGTTGTCCTCACAGCAAACATAAAATCCTGTCTCTTTTACCAAAAAATGTTGTCTAATAGAAGAGCCTTCCATTCCTAAAACACCTTAACGCTGACTTAGTCCAAATGCCAAGCACAGTTGGAATTAGAAACACTCATCCTGTACTTTTTGCAGGAGCTAGAATTTGTCCTCAAAAAATAGTGGTGTTAAAGGGCTCCAGCCTTCGTTTATATTCTCCTTAAGTTTCCAGCAGGTGCCCCAAAAGCACCAGCGGTTGGTTGCTTTTGTTTTTTAAATAGCTAGAAATATGTCTTTATTTCCTGATTTCTCTGTGGCTGGGGCCTTCCCTGCTCAACTAGAGTTTGCTTTCATTCCCTGATCCTCAGGATGAATGACACAAAGGGTTCAGGTCAGCATCCCAGGCTGCCCCCCCCCAGCTGGAAAAGTTCCCAGGCTTGGTGATGGTTGTGCAAAGAGCTACAGAGCAGCGCTGCTCTGCCCAGCGCTCAGTGAGGGGCTGTGCACCACACTGACAGCTGCTGCTGCAGCAGAGGTGGTACAAAGGGAACTGCTGCTCTTGTTTACAAGCGTGGGGGCGTCTATAAATCATTTACTTAGAAAAATGAAAATATGTTAATAACACACACTTATTTAAAGAGCTGCTCTTAAAAAGAGAGACCTTAGGAAGCACCCTACCTCTGAGGATCAGAGTGTTACATTTACCCTGTTCTTGTATTTTTTTTGCTAAGTATACTGTTCCCCTGCTACAAATGTCTGCATTCTCAGTCTGGCATTCATTAACAGCCAGCAGAACGCTGAGCATCATTTTGATTGTTGCTGAAGGCAGGTTTTCAGACAGTTACCTGCAGTAATTTCAGCCTTAATTTTAGGACCACTATAATGTGTGTTGTAGCCTGTTCCACCCTTAAAGCATCCATATCCTTTCTTCCGATCTGAAATAGAAACTACTTTCAAAGAAAGCAGAGCTTGAAGAAGCTGCTGACCTTCTGATGCATCATTCTAATCAGCCAGTGTTTCTAAGCTCTCCAGGTATTAAAAGATGCTCCATGGTACTTTAAGACAGCTGCTTTTGATAACATTAAACAGTTTTGTGTTACTGGCATCTTAGATTTATCTCCTTATCCAGATCACCAGAAGTTCAGCTGAAAAGCAAAACCATGGGCAGCTGCACAGGTAAGCAACCTGCACTGTCAGAACTGTTAGCACTATCCCTGCCCTCTTTAACCAGTTATTAATCCACAAGGGATGACTATTCGTATTCCAATGATGCTGTATTTTTCAAAGAGCATCCTTCATGAGCCATCCTGATACAGGCTATTTGGAAATCCCTTGGCAGTATGCTGTTGTCCTGTAAGTTGCTCTCACCTATGTAAGTGGTCATAATAAATTACAAGGCCATACAAGGTAGCTCAGTACAGGCTACTGTGTAGGTTTCTATCTGTCTAGGGCTATGAGTGCTCTCGGTTGGTTGCTCTGGGTTTGGTGTATTGGTTTGGTTTTTGTTTGTTTGTTTTTTTTTTCACAGAACTAATTAGAAATGTGATTCCAGTGGCAAGGATAAATGTAGAAGTAAAAAAGTCTGGAAGTGGACCCAGGAGGCAAATAACCAAGAGCTACACAAACTAAGTGTCTTCAGATTTTCATGGGGAAAAAAAAAAATACAGGCCTTGCAGTTGTACTCACACTCTTGATGCCCAGTCCTCGCAGAGTTATGTGTGTCTGCCTCCAGCCATGGCCGCCGTTCCTTCCCCACACAGCTGGTCCATGAGCACCACTTCTCCTCACGAAGACTTGCAGGGCACCAGAATGCAGCCCAGGCACCTTATGTCTGAACGACAAGCACAAGTCCCCAGCCTGAGCCATGTGGCCCAGTGGCAGAATAAGATGTGCTGCTTTTCCCTCCGTGCCTTTGGGTTCAGAGATGGTAAGATACTGTCCCCCTGCAAAACAAAAAGCAATTCCTTCATTACCATATTACTTCTTAACATTTCAGTACCAAATGCTTAAGCACTGTGAAAGAAACAAAACAGGGCTCCACAAGGTCCAGCAAGTCTTCAATAAAGCGTATTATAGCTGGAACATGCACTGGAACTGCCACATCTGCCTCCCACAAGGTAAGATTTACAGTGCTGGTCCCCTGTTTACATTGGATACCAGGTTAGATCTTTCCTATCGCTTTTTTACAAAGCAAATAGTATATCTTTTGAAAATGAAGCTCATATATTTGTTCATTTAAGATACCCCTTGGACGACTACATTGGTTTTAAATTCCCACTGATATTAAAGCTACAGTGTTGACTGATGCATATTGTAAGCTGCAGGGTTTTGCCATTACATGAAGGCCTGAATAAATGTTACAATATAATTGACCCACAGATCTATTCCTTTTTTTTTTTCCTTGGGAACTGTTTTAACACATGAAGTCTCACAGGGTTTCCATTAGCACACATGAACAGCCTTTTTATTTAACAATAACTTAAACTCCTAATCTAGACAAGACATAGAAAGCTAGACAGAGCTATGATTTTCAAAAGGCTGACGGCCTGATACATTTGCTGAAGTCTTTTCTAACACTACTGAATTGCTACTGAACATAAGCACTTAATTAAAAATTACTACCTTTGACCATGAGGAAGTGTGAGTGGCTTCATAAAAACACTGCCAAGTGCATGGAAAAGTAGAGGATGTCATAGGGAAGTAAGGATGGAGGGATGAGAGGAAGAGAAAAGGAAGGGAGGGAATGGAAGAGAGAAGAGGGGAAGAGAGAAAACAGAGTAGGAAGAGCGAAAAGACAGAAAGAAGAGGGAAGTGAGAAAAAAAGGAGAATAATAAAAGAGGGAAAAGAGAGAAGGGAGAGAAAAAAGAGGAGAAGAAAAAAAAAATAAGAGAAGACAGCAAGAAGGGAGAAAGAAGAGCGTAAAGAAAAGAGAAAATGAGAGTAAAGAAGAAAGAAAGAGAGAGAGATTCTCTCGCTCTGAACCTGAGAATCACTATTTATATAAGAGCACATTTACCTTAAGAGCTTTTATAAAGTGCCATTCAGGCTTCCAAATGAAACCTATGATGTAGAAATGTTGATTTTCTTTTTTATTAGTATTATTTTTAAATACTGCAGACATACAATTTAACTTCACTATTAGAACAGAATACTATTTTACAGTTAAATTTTTGCCATATCTCTACTCAAACCTCTATTCTACTCAAAATAGTCACTTTCTTAAGAGGTTCCTTCTGAAAGCCACAATTATTTCCCCCTCAAGTTATGAGATCGCACAACAAGGTACCAGGGCTTCTGAAGCAAAGGAGAGCAAGCCTCCTCTCCAGTTCTCTACTTCTACATCCATTTTGAAGTTCCTTTTTTTTCCAACGCAAGTTAACTAAGCAAAGTAGTTTTTGTGCTGTTTAAGGTCTCAGGTCTGCATTTGGGCATAAAGTGGGTTACACTTGTCCAAATATTTGTTAAAGCTTGCTTTTTTTTTGTAGCAACGCACTGTTTTTGTATCCAGGTCAACAACTGCTAAAACGAGAGACTTGAAATAATTGCACTTTGTTGTACATACAGTTACATCACTTTGAAAGAACTGATCTGACTTATTACCTGCATCTGTTTCAGATAGTTACAGTGACTGAATCCAATCAATAGGAAACAGATTTAGGTAGGCATAAAGCCAGCCTATCTCTAGGCATGCCCCTACAGGTGAAGGTCCTCTCAAAGCAGCATTTTCTGCCTGCAAGATAAGCTTGTACAGCTTCAGCATGGCACCTTTCAAAATGCCAATAAATATCAAACTTTGAAAGGTGAAAGCAAACACTCAGGCACAAGCTGTGAAAATAAATCTCTGAAACGAGGTATTCTAGCCAAGAGGGAGCAGGGGGGGTGACTTCAGGGGACTGGTTTTAACAGGTTGTGTCAACAGCAACAGAGCATACACAGGAAACAGAAAGCTGAGATTGTTCCTGACTAGAACTCAACACAAGAGGAAAAAAGTAAAAAAAAAAAAAAAAAAAAAAAAGTTAGTTCAAAATTATAGTACTGGAACTTAACACATATTAACAACAATTTTTTAAGTTTAGATAATTAACAGCCTGAAAAGGGTGCACATGCTGCGGTAGCACATATAAGCATAGGCATCTCTGGTAAGATGGTATGTAAGGAAGCCAGCTCTCAGTGCCCTCCTCCTCCCTCTACATTTTACTGCCTGAGAGCACTTTCCTTCCTCAGCTTCCATCTGCTCACATAATGCCAACATTGTGTACTTCAAAGGCTGCTCTTCCTCTTCTGGGTATGAGGTAATCCCATGCTTACAGGCAGCCAGAGCCGTGTGTCTAATCCCCAGGGCTGTGGCTGTCAGCCTCCTCTTGTCCTGCACAAGCCTACTGTGCTGCCCTGCTTCATTTTAGGGTCACATTTTCTTACCCCAGCCTTCCCTGTTCTCAGAAATTGCTGTGCACTGGCAGCCTGACTTTCCTTCCTTCCAGCTACTTAATGGTTTTCCTATACACAGCTCTCCGTAACTTCGCACTGAATTTCATAAAGAGAAACAGATCACATTAAAACAAGAGCACTGTAAGTAACAGCAGAACAGACTATTTGCAGCACTTTCTAATTTTACTGGTAACGTGGAAATCATTACGTTTGCATCATTGGTTGAAGAATAAGCTTTATTTCTCCATAAGTAAAAGTTGTTTTCTAGTCCTTTCTAATTTTTTTTTGTCCTTTCTTATTTATTTTTTTAAGACAGATAATCACAGAATGACCTGGGTTGAAAAGAACCACAATGATCATCGAGTTTCAATACCTCTGCCATGTGCAGGGTCACCAACCACCAGACCAGGCTGCCCAGAGCCACATCCAGCCTGGCCTTGAATGCCTCCAGGGATGGGGCATCCACAACCTCCTTGGGCAACCTGTTCCAGTGCACCACCACCCTCTGGGTGATCTTTTACTGTGTACAATCATTTACTGAACACACTTATTCCTCTTTTGGAGCCATTTTTCTTGTAAAGACATGAGCTAAGATAAAAACATGAATGACCTTTCATGTTGGAATCCTCAGTTTTGATTTTGTACACAGAAGAGGTGTGGGCCTGAAATAAATACATACCACAACTAATGTGATACACAGTCTGTGTAAATCTGTCATAACTCACGAACTGTCATCAACCTCAATACCAGGTAGTTCTTCAACTACAGGATAAGATCGTATGCATGTGTCTTACCTGACGCATCTCTAACTGGCTCCCAGTGCAAATCATCATCCTTGTCCTTGATCCATCCACATAGGCCACTGTCAAAATTACAGCTGTGTACCAGCGTGCCTAGGCAGAACAGCCAAAAGGTAAAAGAGAGTGATTTAAGTATTCTGGTTGGGGAACTGAAGCACTTGTGGCTGATGCAGGCACAGAAATACCAAAATAAAGGAGCACTAAAGGGAGTACTAGAAAAAGAACATACAAAAATACTAAAAAGGATGCAATTATTATTACTAACAATTTGTGCTTAGTTCCTTTTCCTAACAGATTATGAAGGCCCATTTAGGTAGTTGTTGTTTTCTTTTTATAAAGCACAGCCTAAACAGGAGGCATAAGATCCAGGAGTCCTGTAAATTGTGTACAAGCATAAGAAATCTCAAACAATCCTAAACCCTCAGCCCCAAACAGGAGATGTGATCATTACCTGGGTCATCGTTTGCTTCAAATTCATCAGCAGTAATCCCTCTTTCAATTTCAAGTATTTCAAACAGGTTATTGCTCACTCCAGGCTGGCGTGGAACTGTGAGAAAAGTAGGTTTTCAGAAATGAATGAGATAAAGATAGTGACCCACTTCCTTATATATAATAAAAAACAGAGAGCAGCTCTGGGCATTGTGCTTCTTTTGGAAAATTCAATATATTTAATTACAGTTGACACAAAGATTCATAAAGTTTATGCCTAGGTGATTTATGTTGCAACATTTATCTGAACTCTGTAAAAGGTGATTGCAAAGCTACTAAAGGCTCTTCTAACGAAAACTGCTTTTTCAACCAAGAAAAAAAAGAAAGCTCTAATCTTGAAGCACACAATTATTCTCTGAATGTACTTCTTAAGATAGTGGTTTCTCAACAACATACAGCCACATTAAAGCCCTTTCTCAAAGTTTCCAATCCAGTCAGCTGCCACAGATGTTTTATAGGACAACTAGCATAAGGCACTGGTGACTCCATGTGAAAGAAGGAGCTATTCTGTCCACCTTCACCCAGAAATCAAATCAAAATTGCTTTGGACAAGGACATTACATAGTAATGTATAGATAGGACTTTGTAAGAACTCCAAATGCAGAAGACAGAGCAACCTTAAAACAAAACAGTAGCTTTGCACTTCTTACATTTGGGACAAAATAATCAATCAAATGCAAATTACTTTAAAAGCAACATGCTCTACAAGATCTATAGCGTATAAATAAACTCAAAGGCTGTATGAAACTTGTTAATTTCGACACGAATTCTTACAACTTTTCTTTTTTTTTCTTTTCAGAATCATTTGTAGATTTTGCAAGATGTCAATTTGCAGTCTATGATACCAATGCATGATCAGCCTTAAGGACTTCAGGTCAGCCTGGGGAGTAAAGGCCTGTTCTTTTTTAAGATACATTGTTTGCAATTATATTTTTGCTATTTTGCTTAATGGGCTTCTTTTGCTCATGTGAGATTTAATACAGTAGAAGCCCTATGAATTTGAACAACCTACACCACTTAGTTCAGTAAACATTCTGCAGTATATCTATGCACAAATAATATAGTCATATATAACAGAAAACAGTTCAACTCAGGCAGCAAAAAGCTGCAGGAACAAACTGCAGGAAATACTAGGAATTTGTTTTACAAACTATTTCAGTTTGCTTAGTACAACACCACTCCTCATACACTTCAAATTCCATAAATCTCTTTTATATGTTACGTTCATACTATTTTCTAAAAATCCGTTCTGTCTGTGCACACATACAAGCATTCTCCAAATTAAAGTTGACACTACTTGCCAATAATTAAAGGTTTAAAAAAAATAAAAGTTAAAACCAAAAATCTTCAAACCTTTCCCTGTAAGTCCTCTCCCAGTGCTTTTATGGGCTCCTAGAAAAGCACGTTGTAGGGCTTTCAAACAGCCCGTTCAGTGCTCACACCTAATGAGAGGAATGTGCACTTGATCCAAGACCAGAGTTACCACAAGCGATGCAGGACTCTCTGCGTGCTCCATGTGTTCCCTTCGTTGTGCCACGACAACGTGTATGTGGAGTGGTGATCGTGGGAGCAAGTATTTGGCACAGCTATTTTCTGCAAGCTTTCCAGGCCCCTTCTGTGTACTTTATATAGCATGTGAAGTGTGTTTTTCACTTAACTTCAACAGTTTGATAAAGCTCGTTAAATATAAACTTGGCATCTTGGAGAATTTTGTAAGCTCTGAGTGAGCCAACACATCAACACTGCTATATCCTCCACATTAATTAGCTGGAGCACTTTGTGGATGCATGGGCAGGGACAGAACATTTAGCAACTGCTCAGGACTGTTTTTTTTTCAGCTCTGTAATCCCTGGGGAAGCAAGTAGGACTTTCATTTACTTGTTAATTACTGAGCTCGGGAGTGTGAGAGATGGTGCGTACACACCACGCTGTTTTAATTACAGTACCAAAGCAAAATACGGAGTGCAGCCTCCTGTTACAATAACTTTACTACTGTTACTACTGTGTTCTGCCTTACAAGGAGCACTGCACTCTTACACATTTCCATTCCACACAATGATCATGACCAAATGTCCCACTCATGGTCAAAACAAAACAAGTAAAAAGCTTTTCAGCCTGAATAGTTGCTATGATCAAGAGTTTTTAAATTCCACTTCCAAAAATCCCCCAAAGTTTTGAGATGTCACACACAACTGGCAGAAAGCAGCTAAAGGAAAGGGTAGCCCAAAGGTCAAGACTCCACAGTCATTTAGAGAAGAGTACATCCTCATTTCCCCCAAGGGAAGACTGTGATTTATCCCAGGTTAAAAAGATACTCCTGGTGTCCTGGCTCTACAGCCTAAATCTGCAGATGCCAATTCTGCAGCAAGAATTACTTCAGGAATGGTGTTGGTGAACTGTTCTACCCTCCTCAGCAACGGTGCAGATGAGCAACTACTCTGAAGTCTACTCTTGCATTTCACAAGTGATTGTAAAGCTCATAACTTTACCTAATCCAAACATCTTATTATATGTACTTCCAGAAGATTTTTTTTTTTTTTTTAAAGCAATTAAAGCAAATTCTCTTTCTCTAAAGAGAAAAGAGAAGCACTGGAAAGTAGCAATTCAGTCTGAGGGAAACGCAGCTAAAACAACTTGTTTCAAAAGCTCACTTATCGGCCCTGCGTATCAGCTCCTCAATCTTAGGGTTTAGCTCCAAACAGAAACAAAGTGTCCATCTCAAATGCTTAAATATTAAGACACATACATTCTAATAGCTGTCAGAACAGTGAAGGTAAGTTAAATGCTACTGTAAAATGCTATTTCCACGATATCATGGAATAACCAAACCCAAGTCTTTACTTTTAGCATTTCCCTTATTTCCACAGTTTCAAGGATCACATAACTGCATTTACTACACTAAGGACTTTTCAGTCATTGGAAGGGGCAGCAGAAAGAATCCCATCTTTAAATCCTGTTAATAGCTATTATGAGAAATGACTCCAAATTCCAGCCTTTTCAGAAAACATTAAGGACTAAGAAGGAAACTTGCTCAATTATCTTTTAATGCTGATACCCAGTGTGTTAAGGTTTGTCTTTAAGTTTATGTTTTTAAGACCTGTTTTAAGATCCCAATGGTAACAGAAATTCCTACTCTTAATGAGAAGTATATTCTATCTGTCAGACTTTATCCATCTTAGTAAGCAGGAGAGATTCCTTCACCACAGTTTGCAGTGAAACAGTTAAACATTAAAGCCATCACTGCATTCCTCCCTCATTTCCATTCCCCCCTTACCCATATCAGGAGAAGATTATCCTTGGTGCCAGATTCCACTGTCTGCATCTGACTGAGTGGTTCAAAGGCCAAGTGTAGGAATTCCATTTAAAAAAAAACACTCTCATTTTTTTTGTTCTGTGGAGAAGCAGATCCCCAAAGCCATTATAGACATGTTTAGAAAAGGGGGAAAGCATTGAGGGAAATTCAACAACCCGATACCTGTCAAAAACTGCAAAGGTATTTAAAGAATATTAACAGCAGCACGCTTTGTGCTCTCTGTGGCTGCTAACAGATCAACTTCACTGGGCCCCAGCTGACTTCAAGCTGATCAGCTCTGAAGTGAAAGCTTAGTTGAGGTTTGCTCAGCATGAGATGGCAGGACAAGTAACAACAAAAGGAGAAAAGTGTGAATGTGTCACCAGGAGCAACCTCAGGAAAATGTTAAATAACAAAAAATTAAAAATTGAGAAATGCTTGCAGAAAGCAAGTGTGCATGTGTAAACACATTCCCTCCCTTGCTCTAGACTGCCACTATGTTTGCAGAAATTGGCCTAGAGCATGGAGCCTCTATCAGTGTTCAGCACACTACCAACCCCTTTGCCGTGGACTGCCAATGGAAGTACTGTCCTTTCAGATGGCTGAGCAAAGCAGCAGGTACTGACACACTGCTGTGTCAAAGGCACCTTCTCCAAGAACAGAACTGTTTTGTACCACACTGTATGTTTCAAATCCTAAACAAATGCTTTTTTGTGCTCACTAATTAAATCCCTTTGGACACAAGTTAGAAACAAATGCTTTTTTGTGCTCACTAATTAAATCCCTTTGGACACAAGTTAGGTGAGAGGGAATACCCACCTCAATGATACTTGCCTAATGAAGCCAGTAACAACTGCTCTGCTTGACACCTTTTGGAATCCTACTTTACTGTGCCCCGATGCCTTTGAAGCTACGCACACAACGCTCAAATGGTGGTGGCAGCTAACCTAACCAAAAAGTGAACACTTTTCAAAGAAGAACTTTTCCTACACATATAGGCTGGCTGTACAACAGTGTATCCCAAACACTCATACTGAAAGCACGAGCTTCTAAATCTAACCTCTAGAGGGAATACTGCTGCAGTCTAGAATGTGCTGCTATAGTTATAATAATTTCCACAGAACTCTTTATTTTTGTTTCCCATTATATTAAGTGCTTAAAGTCTTCAGTGTATTTCTTTTAAAATTCTTACATAAAAACAGTTAAAACATTCAGTTTTAACTGAATATATTATATGGATTGCTTAAAATTAACCTGGAAAACGTCAAAAGAAAACTCTGAGCAGTACCAGGATATATATTCCCAAATTCCAAGTCATGCTTTTTTTTTCCTATTTTAAATAATGTTTAGAGCAGACAAAATGTGAACAGGGAAAACAAACCATTTTTAACAAGGACAAAAATATTTCATTCTTTAATGATCTAAGAGAACACATCCCCAGAAGTTCCTGCATAGATGCCAAAGCAAAAACTCCCACATTGCTTGTACACCTGCTGCAAGACAGCACGCTTCCTCCTCCTCCAACATTGTTCAGCAGCTTTACTGTACGTCACGCTGAAGGAAAAAGGCTGATCCAACACACCCTCCCCATCTCTAAGATCTGTAGCAGAACTAAAGATAAAACTGGGTGTTGAATGCTTCTTGGCAGATGTGTGCAACTCTACACGTGCCAGTAATGCCATCTCAGGCATGCGCTACAGCTGGCACAGAAATAGTGCTGCATCTTTCAGAGCAGCTCTTAAAAAGGCTCCTCCTTGAGCTAGAAGAATCTTTACCCTTCTCAGCTTTTACGTATCCGTTTTCATAGATGCACTCCATAACATTAACCTCCATGCTATTTTTATGCAATTCTACAGTTGCTTAGTCATAAGCATCCAAAACTGTTTGGATTCATGGAATATCAGTAGCAAAACAGGTTTCCTCCAGGAAATCAGACACGATTCTATTTCTCACCATTCTCAAAGCTAGGGAAATACACTGTCTAAAAAAATCAGATTTGAGAGCCATCCTGAGCTGCATGAGTTACATTGCATTTCAATATTTCTTTTTTCCAACAAAATGGCTTTCCTTTCTCCCTCCAAAATTTTCATCTGAAAATTTAACTAATTGGATATTTTCGTTGAATTAATCCAGAATTTCTACCACACATTTTTGTTAGGTCATAAAATCAGTTATTTATGCAGCTTTAGCACATGACCATTTTCACTTCCATGCCTTCATTCTCATTGATAAAGCGTTCCAAAACATCAAAACAGTACACTGAATGGTTTCTACAATTATGATAAATGAAAGTAAATCGACTTACTGAACACATCCCCTCGGGGTTTCTGAGGATCTATCTGTATCCTGTTATCATCTGTAGCTCCTTGGGAAGATGTAGTTTCAACAGGAACAAGCAAAGGATGTGTGGTGGTTATCAGAGGAGTTCTTTGTGATGTAGGTCTTAACGTTGTAGGTAAAGGTGGCGTTGGAGGTGGAGGCTTTGTCACTGGCTTTGTTACTGGCCTTGTTGTCACAGGTATGTACCTAGTGGTTGGCTTTGGTGTGGGTCGAGTTGTTGGCCTTGATGTGGTTCGAGTTGTTGGCCCAAGTGTAGGTCGAGTCGTTGGTCTGGTCACTGGCCTTTCTGTAACAAAAGCAAGTACACATGGTGGTCTGAGGGGTTGTCTTGTCAGCAAATGCATCGGGAAGCCTATTGGTTATACCAGTGCCTCCTGTAGGAAGCACAGTTTGCCCCTGAATATGTGATATGAACTAGATGGTTCAATCATAATGTTAGGAGTAACTGCAAAGAGAATAAAGATGGGAGCAAAATGGACTCCTTGTTCCAGAAACTTCAGAATATAATTCATTGACATGGAAGAGTCTGCTGAATTAATGCCTCTTCTTCTGAATGCTTCCACTGACTAGTCACACACCTTACTATTAACACTACTGAATTATCAGTACTTCTCATTACAGTATTAGAGATGATTTAGCATGACCAAAGGCAGGCACACAGTGCCTACGGCTTCCCAAGCATCAACACTCTTTCAGTCAACAAAACTCACCCAGATGAGCTGTTAGTAAAATAGCATGGGCATGAAGGTATATCTTAAGCTGTAAAACTGCACACATTTTTACTCAGGAACAGAGGAAGTTTAGTAATACTCCAATGTTACAACCATTTCAGTCACGGAGGGGCAGATACCTTTGGTTTAAGAAAGTACTTTTTAAATCTTTCCGCTTCTTTTAAACACTCCTCCTCGTCTACAACTGTTTATCACTTTACAGACAATGACCCGAAGCCAACTAGCTGTCTTAAATCTTTCTTTGCTGAGCACCAGGAAAATAAGTGAATGGTGGTTTGTTTTTTTTTAATCCTCCACAAAAAGGAAAAGATGAACTGAGCTCCACCTATAATATAGTGACATTGCCTACAATACCACCTTCCCAATATTTCATAAATAAAGGGTAACAAATTTTGGATTTATATCATAAGAAGAGTTTCTCTTGAAATCCAAGAACATCTGTTCTGTTATTTGCATTTTACTATTTGTTAATAAACCTTTCGATCTCACTGGAGATCTTAAAAGACCCAGTAAGAATTCTACTCATTTTGTGGACATATAAGTGTTGGATGTGTAACACAGAGCTAGAATTAAGATACTGTTTGTTAAACAATGAACTGTTTGAAGGTAGCAGGTTAAAAGGTTATCCGTCTGCTTACTACTATTCTTTTGAATAGCCTGCTGTTTTTACCCTGTGGCATATTAAATGTATCATAGGACTACATCCCAGTAACATGTCAAGTGTGTCTATGTATAACTGTAAGCATTTGTGTTGTGAAAGATGACCATAGTGAGAGCACATAGTTATAATGACTAAAGCCAAAGGAAACAAGTTTGCAGTAGTACTGCTCTTTAGAAAAGACAGGCGGGTTACCAACAACCAGAACCCACATATGAACACAGGGTTCTCAGAATGATCGTGCAGGCAGAGCTGTGCAGTCCTGAGAGACATCACATGTTAAAGAGCTAGAATGGCCTATTCTGTACCAAGAGGGATGACTGCTTCTCCTAACACAAATATGAACCCTCTGACACGGAATTCTTCCAGAGAAATCCTCTCTCAGCTCTGCTAAAATCTGGGGAGTGGACATGGCAAACTGTTGACATGGGACATGTTGCAGAGCGTACGTAATAGCAGCACATGAGTAATATTGTACTGTCTGACCAGACTTATCCCACTTACTCACTTGTCCTCATTGTGAAGCAACTTCTAGAATGAAGCTCTGAATAGGGTGAGATGAATATCTTTCTAATTATGAAAGTGTCTGAGAGAGAGGTATTTTTATCAAAGCATGCTAAGACTCAAAACTCTGACTACATTCCCTGGACCTTCATTAATTTTTAAAAATAGCTGAGATAAATTAAGCCTGATTGCGTTATACCTGAAAAGGTACAACATAAGATTCATGGACACATTTACTTTCAGAACAACTTCTTCAAAAGGAGCTTTACATACGTATGCAGTTTGTTCCATTGTCTCTGTAGCCTTCTTTACATTTGCATTTGTAGGATCCTGGCGTATTGTAACATCGTGAATAACTACCACAATGGTGCTGACCAAGGGAACATTCATCTATATCTGCAACAGAAAGTTACATCAAAAATCAAAAGAAACCTTTCTTCCTGCATATCTTTGCAAAAACACGAACAGTAGCAAGATCATGAAAAAATGCAAATTTCAAGAAATTCCAAAAAATTGAAATGGAAAAAGTTGGAAGTTAATGTGGTGACTTCAGGAATATCCACATTCTTAAACACCCAGGTATTAAAACTACCTTTTTTCATAAAATACTTTCTCTTTATTGAACCTATTGTGTTTGGGTAGAAACTACATACATGACCTTTATATGTTTTAGGCCTCTGCACAAAGGCTTCTCTCTAAAACTATGCTTAAACATAAAGCAATGCCTCACTGTTTCTACATGATTGTTTTTGTTTGTTTGTTTGTTTTTCAGTAAAAGGATCATAAATTGGCTGAGGCAATGGAAAACTAAGGCAGTGGGATCTGGGAACATCTCTGTTGAAGGGCATATACCAGCTGCATTCCAGTCTTGTGTGGAGACAAAGACAGGTTATTTACCAACCCTCACATTTTCCCACCTGTCTGCAGAGTAAGTAGGTTCTGCAGCCTGTTTTGGAAGGAGCATGGTGTACCCCAGCCACATGTTGTTTTCTTGGATCTTGGGGCACGCAATGGATCACAACTGCATGACAGCTCAGACACAGCCAAAGCTGAAATGCTGCTCCAAACCTACAACTGTCTCTACCCAGTGAAACCTGTGGGGATGAAGGTTTAGAAAGGAATTCCTGCAGCACCAGCACTGCTCTCCCACTACCTTTCACAGGAAAGCCTGTTGCAATAGGAGTTAAAGATACGCTTCCAGTTTCACATTCAGTCTAGTTAGTTCTATTACTCACCCTTTGCTAAAATACAAATGCAGAGCAACCTACAATAACCTACTACAATGTTTCAGCCATAAGCAAATATTCCTCTTTAAACCATTAATTCAAGTTTATAAAATACACCTTGGTTACATGCAGATAAGAAATATGATGGTATTACCATGGCACTGGTATTTCCCTCCAATGTACATTAAATCAAAGCCTTTATGACACCTGCACATGTAGCTTCCAAAAGTATTGACGCAGTGCCTAAATCGTGGACAGAGAACTCTCCCAGTAGCACATTCATCAATATCTGTGGAAACAGAGGAACTGCATTACTCTTAGTAACAGGTAAAATGTAAGCTATACAACCCACATGAAACTGTTCTCACACTGTGAAAACTGAAGAAGAATAGCCAAAGTACTTCAGAAAATGTTATTCTGAATGCAAGCTGGTCTGCCAGCAGTAACACCACTTCTAGCTGTGTCACCTCGGTTTAGCTCTTAACCATGCGCCCAGATTCTTATAGTTCCCTTGCCAGAAGCCTTCCCAACTCCCTGTGAGTGACAAGAGAATGCCTTCTTCAAGGCCCCAAAATATTCATCCTTAAAACTGTAATGGTGTTTGGCTGAAGAAAAGCTATGTCATGCTACTTGTATGACTTTTCTCCCATTAAGCCCTGCACAGTTACTAAGATAGCACTTGGTTATAGGTGAGGAATAATAATAAAAAATACCCCAGTAATTGTTTTTCTAAACATGCCTGAAACATTGTTCCTGTAGCACAGGCCATATGTACCTACTCAAAATACATCATCATGTGATAGAAGGTCGCTTACTTTTATAAAGATCTCAAGCATCCCTAATCCACAGCCTGCTCAGTGAGCTTATCAGAAACTCATCTGTTCAGGACTTGCTCTCAACAAGGAGTTCAAACTGAGGCCAAAGGTGCAATGTTTCTGGGTCAACTACCACTTGGTCACTACAGGCCAAACACTGTCTGCCGCTTTGCAAGTTCTTACCCTGCACTGCAGCTGACCCCTCTTTCATGGAGATGTGTGTAAGGTGACCTTCAGATATCAAAGGTGCTGAGACGCACGGCTTATATTTGCCCTGCCAGCAGCACCTAAAATAGTGTCTCATCAGGCAACATCTAGGTAAGGACAGAGCTCTGGGAAAATGTGGGATGTTCATCCAGCATCTGACCCCTCTCAGCTCCCTGCAGCTGCTGCTTCACGCTAAGTACATCAGGCAGATGCCAACGGAGCCTGCTCTCACAGCATGCAGGGCTCTCAGCAGGAAAGCAGGCTAATACTCAAAAGCTGCTCACACTACCACTCATTCTGTAGCCCTTGAAAACTGAGCTGAAGTCTTCTTAGTACTTGAACCCTAATTCTTCTCCGAGGGGGGGACCTGCCACACACGGCTGCCTCTGACGCACACCGTTTCTGATGTTTGCTAGTTATCTGCAGGGCACAGTTCAGGCCTTTGCTCTACACCTCTATCAGGCTCTTAATCTATGGGAAAGCAAGATTTTGCTCTCTGTGCAATTTTTTTTCTGAAAAGGAACATTTCAGCTGCAAGTGTGAGGGCTGCAAAACAAAGTTGAGTGATTGATGCCCTCCTGCTTGTGAGAGAGGCCTGAATAAGGCACAGAGAAGTCCAAGTTTCTTACACAGCACAGAAGAAACATTAGCACTGACAGTGTGGTGCTCTGGCATGTTCAAATATTCTTGATTAATCAAGAACCATTTGAATGGGTAACTAAAAGAAACAAAGCTGCTGGTAACCTGAAGTAACCTAAGGCCACAAATTACTGGTTGGACAGATTGGAAGTAGCTGCTGCTGGCACAGTCCCACCCTGTATAAGGAATTACAGAGGACAGCAAGCACTCGGCCCGCAAGCTCCCACCCCTGGTCCAGACTGCTCTGACAGCACAGCTCTCCTCTGCTCACACACACCTGCAGTACAGGCCTGAATGAGAAAGAAAATGAGGCCAATGCTGGGCACCTCTCCACATGCCCGAGTCTCCCTATAAATCTGCCTCTTGGTCTGAATATGTTAGTAACATTTTAGGCTGTGAGTAACTTTATTAACATTTTTACATGTCTTTCCTTCTGTACAAATTCACTTATTCACAAATTCATGTAAGGAAGGAAGCATGTTGGATGTTGTCACATTGTTAAATTTTCAAGGCAATAATATATCGTAAAGGTATGGGACTGAACTGCTAATCCATACTTTGTTGAAAACTGACACATGTCCACTGCTCACATGTAACATGGGAAGTGGAGTGGATGCTCGTTACTGGTGGGAATAACATTTTGATCATTATGCAAACAATGGAAGGTAAGTGCTGGCCTCCTACAGCTCTCACACAGCACAGTGACTGCAACTTCCTGCAAACCCACAGACCTGTGCCAATTGCACCTGGGCCCAAACATTGTAAGACAGTTCCCCTTTGCCCACTGCAGCAGGCTGTGGCTCATGTCTGCTGCCCATGAAAACCAGGGCACAGAGGGGTGATTTGCATTCTGACCTCAGAATCATTGGTCTGCAATGGAGGCACAGTCCCAAACCTAGTGCCAGCGGCTGCTCTTAAGACAAATACTACAAGCAGCACCCAGTGACTGTCAGAGCCAGCGTTCAACAGAGAAGCAGGATTATGAACAGGATTGCTTCTGTCCTGCTGTGAGTATGGCCGCATTACCAACACAAGTACTAACCAACTATGATGCTGATTTTAAAATAATTTGGTTTTTTAAGTTTACAAGGATATATTTTTAAGTTTCCATTCACAAACAAAACATCTAATGAGACTTTTTTATGCAATGAAAATAATTATGATTTTCAGTCCTCCAATAGCTACACACCTTTTAAAGCTAAAAGGTACACCAAACCTACTCCAAAGAGCAGGGAACACAGAGTTATTGAGTTGAGTGTCATTAATTAGTCAATCCCTACTTTCAATGAATACTCTGCTGAATTCTTTTTTACTTCTTCGTTATCTATTTGAAATGAATTGCCTTCCTACCTGAATTCTTTGGTTGCTCTACACTGGTTGGCTGGAAGGAACATTTTAACAAGAGAACGATCTCCATAGGTTAAACTAAGAATAGAATAATGTCTAGAGGAATTTAAACCTGTGCTAAAAATAAGCATTAAATTCCCAGCTGTCTTTCAAACTCTGTTCAAACTAGGATTTCACGAGCTGCAGTCAATGCACACTTCAATTTTCTTACTACCATCTACAATGTTATTTTTCTACTGCATCTACACTGCAGCAGTATCTGCACACTCCCTGGAGCTGACAAACTCACCAACAGCATGCTTGAGCACATGTCAGGAAAAGACAAAGTTCTAGCCACAAATAACTGTCATTCTTGGAGGTATTTACTGGTTTAGCACAACTTAAGCTTGACAGAGAAATTACTTGGAAAGAATACGTCCCAATCATTTTGTACCAAAAAAGGGAGATTGCGCGTTTTTTTGACCTATGAAGGAAACCCATCTCTTGCTAAGACTACTTTCTCCACATCATGCAAGCCTGTTCTGATGTTTTTATAGAAGATTTTAAAAATAGGTTATGATACCAATCTGAATGGTTAACACACTGAAACACAGGTACACAGTTCTTCACCTTAAAGATATCCATCTGCCATGATGTCTGCTGTGACACTAATTGCCATCTCTTCAGCATATGGCAATGGTTATTTTCTCTTTTGTATGCATAGACATGCTAGTTGTGCATCCTAGGAAGCATCCATCCTAGAACCAAGCCTGCTCCTCACATCAAATGATCTAGATACAGTCCCTTGTTCTGCTGCAAAGTTCTTGGGAACTTTGGGAAAGTCAGTTTGAGAACCACGTCCCCTGAGAACAGCCACAGCACCTAACTGGATTATTAGGGCATTCACACTCTCCTATTCCTTCATTGCCAGTCCACAGGGTTGCTACAGGCTGTGGAACTGCAGCACTGCATAGATATAAATAATAAAATCACTGGAGCATTATATCCACACAGGATGTATAGTTAATGACTAATGAAATCACATGTCACACTGTTCTTTAGACCATAGTAATGTGTGGTACAATACAGTCTGATTAACCATCAGCACCTTTTCCATGTTTAGTGATGTGTGAGAACAGGACATTTCATTTTCATACAGTCTGAATTCCTGAGTTTATTTTAACAATTACGCAAGAAAGATGGGAGCCTAAATCCTATTAATACTGGGAGCATACAGAGACCTTCAATTTGCCTCTGGGAAATCTCAAAGATGTGCACAAATTGTCCCTCTACTCTCCTCACCTGGGCATCACCTTGCTCTAGAAAGGTATGAGAGATAGCTGCCCTCCCCATTCCTTCTTCATGCAGACATACTTTAGAAGTTCTGTTAGCAACACTTCAAAATTACCCAGGAACAGTAGAGACTAGTAAGGGCCAAAGGCTTGGATGCCAATGAAACCTGCAAGACTGGAGGAAAGCACTGGGGATCTCTGACATAGACCACATGAGAGTAGCTGAGCAATACATCTCCATCCTCATTAGTCACGTCTTGAAACTACATGTATATTTCATTCTGAATACACCTGATGAACTTTTTAAATGCATTCAGTGCAAGGATGAAAATTCTATGAGGAAAAAATATATATTAAATATTAAATCTGCAACTGATCACTTACCTATGCAGGTTCTACCATCAGACCCCAGCTGCAGGCCTGGAGAAGGACAGCGGCAGCGCACTTCCCCTTTCAGCACGTCGCAGCCATACTGACAGTTTGCCATGGAGCAAGAAAGGGCACCTAGGGACAAATAATGGAACGCATTTAGATAATGACACTGACCAGTAACAGAAAATCACTGTAACCTCCATGGAATTGAGACACAGTATAATTATGATAGAAGTAAATAAAACACCTGTAGAATTTCACAGGTAGTCATTCAGGCTTTAAAAAGCAAATGCATGTGGTTATAAGAAACAACAACAAAAAACAAAAATGACAACAACAGAAAAAAAAAAAAAAGCCCTACAACTGTAGCAAGTAGAGCAATGGAATGTAGCCTTCGTGAAGAAAATAAATTCCAGTACATACTATATATAACACATCCTGGACATTATCAACATTTTAAAATAGGAGGAACTTTAATTTAAGGTCATTTCTTTTCCCTTCTCTCTCTCTCTCTCCACACACTCAAAATATCCACTTTTATGGGAGCAAGTAGGAACCTGATCTCCAGAGAGATGACAGTACGATCTTATACCAGTCAGACAACCAACATCTGCAGCTTTAATGATTTTACATTTATAAGGACGTAATACAACAGAGCTGCAGGTGTCTTGCTGCAATGAAAATGGCAAGCACTTGTCCCTGAAGGCCAATTAACAGTGATTTACAGCACTGAAGAATGCTTCTGGGAAAGCTTGTAATAAAACTAATAAAATTAAACTATTTGCTCCTGGTTTGTTCAGACTAATTTCATTAGCGGGGAAAAAAAAAAAAAAAAAAAAAAGCAGCTCAATTTGTACAACTACCAGATTTCCAGCAAGATAAATCTTCCAGCATGGGACGCAACTTAATTTCATAAAAGTTTCCCGGGGAAACCCAAGCAGGGGCTTCAAGGAGATGAAAAAGAAAGCACCAAGCCTTGCCGTACTGGAGCAGGTTCCATCTGGCAGGAGCATGTAGCCGTTCAGACAGTAGCACTTGTAGCTGCCGTAGGTGTTCATACACCGGTGTTTGCATGGCCGGGGCTTCAGTCCACACTCATTTAGATCTGAAACAAAGAGTACAAGGGAAGGAGATGGGAAAAAAACATAGCAATTATGTGTGAAAAGCCTACTAAAACAAGTTCCTTGAGAAAGAAGGAAAAATATGGCTATTAGCTTTACATGTGCAGCCCAGAAAACGTCCAGAACAAACTCCACAAAGTACTGTTCTGTCCTTCTGCCATGTGGAGTATGTACTATTGTTTCTCAGATACCTCTTCAGAAAAATGAGTGAAAAACAAAGAACTGTCATTAAGTTAAGCACTGGCACATTTCATTAGCAAATGTATAAGCTGAGGCTGCCCAAATCAGAACTCTAGAGAAGAGAAGAAGCGCATATCACTGCTGCAGTCACTGCTGGAGTGCATCTGAAAGCAATTTGGTAATTCACTGTCATGCTTCAAAGTCTGTTGCAGCAGAAGGCAGAAAAGCTGATGAGAATCTCCTTAAAACAATATCTTGGAAAAAAAGTATTTCTTATCATCCAGGAAATGCTGAAAAAAGTACCTGTGACACCAGTGATATTTTTCAAGGACTACTGCTAAAGGCTATTACTTCAGATTTATAATACAGAACTCATGACTTCAACTATACTAAGCCCACAAGAAAAGATGGAGTCAGGAATTCCTTCACAATTCTCTTCCAGGAACACATGTTGATGTGATCGGGTAGACCAGAATAATTCACTACAGAACTTAGTTATTTGTGCACGGATGACTAAAGTTGACAACACAGATGAACACAATAAATATATTCACAAATCCAGCCAGCAAGCACTTAACTAACGACTGGTCCTTGTCTCCAGTATTGCACAATGCCATTGGAGTGCTGTTACAATAACAGCAACTTATTTCCAGGAACTTTGCAAACAGCCATCTCCGCTTTTAAACGCATTCCCATCAAGTGTCCCTCCTTTATCAGCACAGCAGAAAGGTAAGCTTTGGTGCTCCCAGCAATGGGTAGACGCACAAATGGAGTCACCACCTGAGAAAGACACGTGCTTTTACAGACTGAATGTGAAAGTTTAGAGTTAAGATATTAAAACAGATAGACAAATAAACCTCTGGTCAGAATGAAGTCAGTAATTCATTGATTACTCCATGGACTACAGGTAGCAGTTAGACAAGGTCTATGCTGTAAAGAAAATGAGAAGTTGGCTTCACAGCAGAAAGGAAGTCGAAGAAAATATTGGTTCTCATTAGCTGTATGTGGCGTTCTCTAAATTCCCAGTGTTTAGATGCGAAATTCATCCTGAAATGTTGCAATCACTTAGTTTTGGAGGGCAATTCTTTTCAGGACAAAATTGCTTATTCTACAAATGAGGAGGGCTTTCCCTTCCATTATGATCGATGTGATGTTGAGCAATCAGGAGAAAAATGAACACACTGGACTCCAAGGGTAATAGTAAGGGTTACAGTTTCTACTTCCTCCCTTTGGAAGGCTGAACAAGATCTTCCTAGGAAGCTTGATGAGGAGTGTGCACTCCTATAGTAGTGAAGAAGACTAGGTGAGCATAGGCATGTCTTCAGCAAGGAAAGGCTGCCAGGAGGGATGAACCTGTGCCTTGGAAACAAGGAGCAGCGACTTCCTCTGCAACCTTCCTGCAGAGCATGCATTGCAGAAACAGCATCCCCTACCAACACTCACTCTTCAGCAGTTTGAACACATTTCTGAAGTTGCTAGGACAACATACTTCTTCCAGCAGGTACCAATTGCAGAATCATAAAATGGACCTGCTCTGTTAAAAGAGAAGCAGATGTAGAAGAGATGTATATTCGTATATTTCCTACTGAGAAACAGGGATCTTCAGCTAAGAGTCGATAGAATATAGGGACAGGTCAAATGGAAGAGCAACAGATGATGATGGCAGTGGAGGACAATTACTCCTCAATTTTTTATTCTAAAAAAAAAAAAAAAAAAAAAAACCAAAGAAAAAGAAAAGCATAAGAATGCTTAATTATTAACTGACAAATATTTGGGGAAGCAAAGTTCTCTAGGTAGCACAGAGAGTTGCTTTTTTTTTCTTTTCCTTCTGTGGAACTTCCTACACCAGGTAGTTCCTGACAGATATTATAGATGCACTAACATCTTGCTTACGCTTCCAAAACTTCTTACCCTTAAGAATAGTCTCTCACAGCTGCTTCCAGAACTACTGCACAGATCAAAGTTGAAAAGCTATTAATGACTGTTCTCAGTTTAAAATCTGCTGCCTTACATAATGTATAGATTGCGCTGTGACCCTTAAATAACTGGAGTCCCACCTGAATAGTACACCACCATTTGTTACAAAATATTCTTAGTACAGAAATGAAAGATCAGGTGTTGACAGAGAAACTCTTGAGAATAACCTAATCTTAAAAGGCAGGTGCCATTAACTGTATTGGGATTCTACATCACACAGGTTTTGTTTTCAAAATTTTGACTAAATTATTTGTTGTCTGCATTCTATTTCTGCCTGTAAGTAAATGCTGTCACATCAGCTTTTGACCCCTTTGATTCAGGTCAAAAAATAGATGGCTGTGAATAAAATGCCTGTGCCTTTAAACAGTCTGATTTTTTTAACCTTGGCTGACATAACAAAAAGCTAAGGTCACAAGGCATCAGAAATAAGCTGTTAGCACAGCTCCACTTAAATCTAAAACTCACATGTCACGGGCTTTCACTTCAGCCTTTGCAATCAGCTATTGAAAGATGTTTTTAACCTTATGGAGTCAGAAGAAATGCCACAGTTCAGGAAAACAGCACTGGCAGTGCCCTGGCTGCTTAAAAACAAAGCCACATTCCAAGCAGGTTGTATTAAAGCGCTCTGCCCAGCCCCTCTTATTTTCCCTGAAGTGCAACTTGTCTTTTACTTCTTTTCAGCAACACAGGCACGTACTTGGAAACCACACAGCAAGCACACTCAGTTTCCTAACAGGTATATTGGATAATTACTGGCAGGTCTTGCAGTCTTTAGACAGGCCTGTATGAATATGCTGACAGCTCCCTTTATCTACCTCCATGTTCCCATAATCTGCAACAGCGTGCTTCCCACAGAAGAATCCAGATATACTGCACATAAACAGGGGGAGCACTGAAACATTCCTGCTATTAATATACTCTGTCGGCTTCAGATGGGTTTCTTGTTCTATAAGTAAGGACTGTTTTTTTCAAGAACAGGTTCAGGCTCATGTTAGCAGTCAAATAATCAGCTATAGCAACATACCTCTTGAACATATGCTGGTTTTAAAAGGTCAAGTTACTTACCCAGAGATATCAACTGCATACTTCAAACAACATCTATAGAGACATCTCAGTACAAGCGCATCAAAAGAGGGAAAGAGAAAACAGCAGTAGTTTCCTCTTTAAAAAAAAGTAAACTAAGACGTATTAAATGCATAGACTAAATTTTGGAATTTAAAATGTTAATCCTTTTCATAGAGTAGGCCCTTAGAAATCCCTTTAATTTCTTTGCAGGAATCTCCATTTGTTGTCCCATGCCTGAAGTTCTGCTGTTGAACTGCTGACGCTGTTACTACACTTACTACAGTGCAAAACCACTATTCTTACTTTCAAAGTAACAGAACACAGTAGTGCACATAAAAGCAGGCTGAAAGCTTTAGGCACTATGGAAAGAAGCTCCATAACAGAAGCAAAGCTGCTAAGTGCAAGTATTTAAGAAAAGAAATTAAAATGTGAATGCAAGGAAATGACAACAGAGCTGTGCTGGCAAACTTGGGGGGACTTCTTTGATCACTGCACAGCCTCACACTTCATCATGGATAATTACCAACTTTGGGGCACATCCAGCAGTAGCAGGGTCGGGGTTCCCCCACACCACTAGCCATGAACAGGGCTGAACCAGCCTGTAAACAGCTGGTGAGTACATAAGCACAACTTCCTAGGAAGACACAGTGCACTCTGCTATTTTCTTTATAATTAGTTCCTGCAGAAGGCTGCAGAACTCAAATCTATTCTGCCTTTTTCTGCCTACTAGCCAACTTGAATCAGAAAACACATCAGGTATTCAATACCAAGTTCACTCAGACTGAGACAACAGAATACCAGCGACCCAACACAAAGTCAAGGATTTAACTATCACTCATACTATAAAAAAGTTTAAGCTTTCATTCCAGCAAGCACCAACTTCTGCCTCTATTTGATCCAATAAACAATTCCCATTGTTCTGAGTTCACAAAGGAGCTTAGAAATAAATTAAGTGCAGATCCTGAAAGATGAGCAGAGGAAAGAAACAAAAGCAGGTTACAACACTGAGTGTGATGGAAAGTCAAGATGTTTTAGAATACAGACACATGGTATCAAGGGAATACAATCAGTTATTTGCTCTGCATGCTAACAACACTGCAAGTTCAGCCTCTGCATCACAGCCATTGGTCCATTAGCCTCCAACCCCTTTGCAAGAGATTTATTATCATTTCAAGCCGTGCAGGTAGAAGAAGCACGCTGCCTGAAATACAGGGACCATCTCACCCCTTGAAGGTGTATTTCTTGAACGATGCTCCAGGGGGCGGAATAGATGTGCTTCACTGTTCTGACCAGGTGGACTTGAATACAGTTGCTCATCTTCACATGATGGGAAGAAGGCATAATTAAAAAACAAAATGACCAAATCTTTGCAATGTGCAAAACAGATGCTTTATATTCTTCACATGTAGACAACCTTTCCCAGTCACACGAAGAAACCTGCATACATTGTAAAAATGGCAAGCTTGCAACTATTCACATTTGTCTATGAAGATAGGTATTAATGAAGAGTTGGTATCAATTTCCCGTTCAACACATTTTGAAAGAAGCTTTAGTTTCATTCTTACTGCTATAAACTTGAGAGCTGGCACGAGGCATTTTCTTTCAGAATGTTGTTTTCTTTTTTCCCCTTAACTGCTTATGGCTGTCAACCTAGGATTAAAAAGCTAGAAGGGAAACACTAAAGTTACTTGCAAGATTTGGGCAATTTCACTGCCAGTTGGCTGCTGATGATATAATAAGGGAGATAGTATCAGTTAATCCTAATTCCTGAGTGACCTGAAGTGAGTGCCTGGTCTAGTATTAAATGGAGAGGTTGGTGGCCCTGCCTGTTGTGGGAGGGTTGGAGATTCATGATCCTTGAGGTCCCTTCCAACCTGGGCCATTCTGTGATTGCCACTGGAAAAGGACCAGCCTTCAGGCATCCTCACACAGTTGCAGTGCAACAGTTCTGCTGTGAGGTTTCGTTGTTCTCTTGGATTGATCCCTGGTACCATGGCTTTATCTTTGAGGACCACGAGATATAAAGCCTGTTTATCAGCACTCACATTTCATACATAGCCCAGCACCATTCACATATCCTAGAAAGACTTCCACCTCCACAGGGGAATTCCAACATTTCTTCTGCCTATACTATTACATCATTATTACTAATTATTATTCTGGAACAGAAAAGAAAAAGATAGCCTCTGGAGTGAACAGAATAGTTGCTATTTTAAATGTGACCTGTGTTACTATACTTTATCCTGTACATAAGTGGGCTTCACGGGATGCCTACAGTTCTAATCCACCCAGTTGTTACACTGGGGGTGGAGCTGAACTGTGCTGTTGCCCCCTTCCCAGCCATACATTCAGATATCCTCCCAGCAAAAGCAGACTCTGCATCAGGTACACACCACTTGGGTCTCAACCTAATGTGAAATTAGCACATGGCAAGAATGCATATTCTGACCCCAGGAACAGTCATCTGAAGTTGAACTGATACAGGCTGTAGTGACTTGATCTGATTGATGGATGTCTGGGACACTGCTGTCAGCAGGAATCTCAAAAACCTCATGGACATCTGCCACAGCAACTTTGTCACCAATAACATGCATGAATATCTGTTTAATATAACCTACAGTGAACCGAGGTGATAATTCAGTAGAAAAACACTTCATCTTTTCAACTCTTATTTATACTGTGCAGCTTATTGCTAAGTTCAGGACTAGAAACAAACAAACAAAAAAAACCAAAAACAAAACAACAACAACAACAAAAACCAACAAAAAAAAGAAAGTATTTAAGAAAACATTTTTAATTGAAGAAATACTATTTCACTATCGAAACCTGAGAATTGTGACCTTATGAAATAACAATCCTGACCACAAAATTTCTTGATTCAGATTGAGGACAGTATGTGGATACACACTTTATGTTAATCTCATTCATTTCACCTGAACAAAAGCAACTGTTTTCCTTGTATCATCCCACTGCAGATGCCATTTTCTCTTCAGATGTCACTCTCAATTTCAGAAAAGCTACAGCACTAACAGACGTGGTATATGAGTTTGTTATCCTATGCCTGCAGGCAACATACACAGCATTTGCAAGAGTCAACAATATTTCTGTGATTTCACAAACAAATTCTCTTTCTTGGACTTCACTTTCTTACCTTGGTTGCACGTTTTTCCAGTGTATCCTGGATGGCACTTGCACTTGTTTGGCCCAATGCATTCGCCATGTTTGCATCCTGGTTGGCATATAGCTGCAAATAGAACACCACTCATTATTCTTTGGTTCCAGTCATGACTGACAGTGCATTACTTTAAAACAAATGGCAACGACCTAACAAAAATAGCACCATTTATGTTCCTCCTTTAAGCACCGTTGTGTCTCAAATACCACTGTTTGAACAACAAGTGCACTTTCAAAAATAATTGCCACCCCAATATGTGTGGGACTCACTGGTATTCTATCTTGGTACAACAGGAGGTTCTGCTGTTTCTGGCATATTAAGCTCCTTTAGTAGCTCATCAGCCTGCATACACAATGCCTTCACTTGCTCTGTGCATTTATGTACTGTGGTTCACATCATTAAATTTGGTAAACTGGAATATGCCCTAGCTTTTCTCATTCTGTGACAGAGTGCAGATGTAGAATTCTGGTGAGCTTACTGTTTAAGTAAGGCAGACACAAATTACAAGGAAAACAGAGGGTGGCATAACTCAAATACTCTTTAATTTTCTAAACTATCAGTATCATTTGCAATTTGCAAAGTCACTAACTAGATCCAGCTGTAATATTCATTGATCTGACAACAGTCTATATTATAAAATTGTATGTACTAAGGATCTATTTGAACAGAAATGTGCCAGAAGGCACTAGCTTGCATTCCAGCCAGGCTGTTCAACAGGGCTGAATTAAACAAAATTAAAACAGAAATGAGATTAGTTGCAGCTGTGAAAGAACTTTGCAAATACATCCCTAATGATCCAAAGTCTTTTCCTTAAGATTCAAAGCATCCAGAATCAGCAGTTCCCACAACTGCATCCACAGAAGCAACAGCACAGAATGAGTTTGGTTCAGTTCAGGGACTGTATCTGCTCTCTACGCAGGGCATTTTTTGTTTAAAAATTAGACATATGCATCCTGCGATGCATAAGGAATGTAAGACCTTATTTTCTATCTGTAGTACTGCTCTTGGTGGATCTTCCTAACACTGCTGCATCTCTTTTAATTCTGTCTTTGGGAATTTGCTAAAAAGCAACAGAGAGAGGTGGTTTTAGTTAATGCAAGATGCATCTTTCCTACAAACACTGGCCAGAAACAAAGACACGGGACTCAGATTCACCAGCTATCTAATGGAATTTCTGTTTCTGTGAAAGTAGCTGTAGTAGTTCAGTGAACTACTGGAAGTTTCAAACATATGTCCCTTGGGTAATGGGCAGAACTGTCAGAGGAGCAACTGAGACACCACAAAACTCAACAGCATTGTAGTTGGAAACAATTGCTGCTTTTTTAATCTTTATAGTCACAAACAAAGAAAAAGACTCTGTTTTAAGAGCTAATTTAGATGCCATATCTCTTGTCTTCCTGAGATCATAAGCCCCAGTCTACCTAGAAGTGGATGGAAAAAAATGAAGAGCATGAAGACCAACCTCATCACTGGGAAAAAAGAGATACAATATATCCATAATAGTAACAGAAATGACCACAAATATGTTTGCAAAAGCTTCCATAAAGTTTCAAAGTTTTCTTCAAAGAAAATCCATACTGTAAAGCAGGACCCGATCAGATAATACTAACCTGTTAGTAACTAATAAGTTGTTAGAAGAACACAAAGCACCATCAGCTAGATATCAGCTTGGAAGGAAGTGGTAAAGTTCCCTGAGTGAATCTACTGCAACTTTAGTTTAGCTGACACTAAAATGCCTTTCTCTCCTCAAATGCATGAAGCATACATTAGCAGAGCTCAGATTGCAAAAAGATGATCTTACAGTTGAAGACAAAAAGATTTTGCAATTTAGAACTGGAAAAGCATATCTAATTCAGAAGATCCAATATCTTTCAGTATTCTTTCAGTCAACCAAGCAGGACATTGTACTAGACAAAAAAAATCTTCATTAGCACGAATAAAACATCTAGAGCAAATTACACAGAACAACTAATGACACACAGATGAGTGATGGGATCTGTGGCATCCTCAACAGATGATACCTAATACATGTTAACCAGCTTAGGCTCATAGTATTATCTGCAATATTTGCTGTCCTGTATGACACACAGGTGGATAAGTCCTGATCTGGACTGTCTCCTACTCCCAAGATAAAACTCAGAAGTGCACTTAAATCTTTTCTGTTTCCAAAAGTCTCACTTAAAGGAGATGTCAGTGCCTCAGCAGCCCACAGCTTAAAAATCCCTACTCTAACAACTGCCTAACTGCTATCCATAAAGCCAAAGACATTACAAAATGCTTTCTGCACATAAACAGGTATTAGGAAACCAACTTTTGCTGCCAAACATGGTACCTGAAGAAATCTCTTTTATTAGAATGTATTCTGTATGCCGCAGCTACTTGAATGTTACACAACTTAAATACAAGATTCTATTCAATTTTAGTTCCATGTAATAACGGAAGAACAACTATACAAAAGGGAAAAGCATTTTGCAGCAAGCTTTGCAACGCGTGTAATTCAGCCAACACCTCCAAACTTCACAGCATTTCCTACAAGGAATCAAATCACTCTCACCAAACTATTTATGTGACCACCTCGTTTCAATCTTTTCATTTTAAATCATTTTGGGGCCAGACACAAAGACTCGCTCTGATCAGTTCCCACTGATTTTAATGGGAGGCACAGAAGTATCTTTCAAGCCTTTTATTTAGCCAGAAATCTAACAGAGTACCTATTTTAAAGGTTGGCAAGAACTACCTTTTCTTCCAAAATAAGATGATAAATACTGCATTTTAAGTTTCAAGTAAAATTCAGGACAAATTAAACCCTATAAAAACAATAGAGAGCTGAAACATGAGTGAGTGAATTGGGTTTAGAGTTGTTTTTGTGGGTTTTTCTCCTCAAGCGTGGGAGAAAGAATTCCTGGTGAAATGCATATGCTCTCAGCATGTGTTACACTCGCGTAAAAGCTCGAAGCCACCCATCTTCTCAGACACCAGGAACAGCTGGTGTGCCTGAGTATGACTAAATCATTCTGAATTATGATTTCTTAATTGCTGCGTAAGTACATAAATGAAGCGTACATTCAATTAGTTCATTATGGATCTGCAGTGTTGGCAGTGGGAGGTGTTGCTGTTGGTTTTTTCACTTTATTTTCTCCCTGCACTCAGCTCCCTAGAATGTTGATGTTAACAGTTTATTAAACCATTACCAAGTGCTGCTTGGTGGAGTCCTAACAAGACAGTCACACTGCTTAATTCTTACCTAAGTCCTTCGTGAGGGATAACAGTGAAAAATCCTGAACTTGCACAGAGGAGTCTCTCTACCATCCTAATTCTCATCTGCTTTTCTAACAGTTTGAGCCAAGACTTTCAGCAAAAGACTACAGCGAGGTGAATGCTGCAACACTTTGCTCTGTTCTGCTGCTGAATTTGTTCCATAATGTTAATTCCCGATTCCACACACCTTCTTTCTTTGAGTGATGTCCACAAGAGCATCTCACTGACAGAAGTTGCCCTCAAACGTTGCTCCTTCTGCAGCTCTCCACTCACATCTGCCTCAAAATGCCAGACCACACGCGTTCCATCTTTTCTCCAACCCCTATTTTCAACTCTCTGAAGTCAAAACTGTACAAGAATGCCTGCATCTGAAATAATCTGTGTTGACCATCTGCCTTGCTTCTCTCTTTCCAAGTAACACATAGCCCCTTTTTTATCCTGATCCCAAATCCCAATTTCTTAAAATTCATTTTTGCTCCGGAAGGAAGGAAGTACTTTATGCATCAGCCCATAGATTATTACATACTATTCATCTTCACAAACTCTTAGTTACATATTTCTTCTTTGCTCCGTCACATACAGAGGAATGAATAAAGCTCACCCTCAAGCTACCCCTACGTAGTTATCAGTAGGTGGTAAAACCATGCGACAACCGTAACTCACATTACAGAATTACTATAAAAATAAATAAAATTGCTTCCCAGCTAAGTGCACAAGCAGTCACAATATACATCCCTGCAGAGTTCAGTAAGCTTGATTACAGTCAGCAGGTATCAACTTTCAGATAATTTCACATGCAAAATGTTCCTTACACTGAAAGATAATAAAAGTGCTTGACCAAATTCTGTAACTAGAGACTGATAGTAACATCAGATAAAATGGTGATATATTATGCCTGAGTTGTGTTTTGATGTTTGCTGGTTTGTTTGTTTTTTTTTTTAAGTGACTTGCATTTATTTGTAGCATTCATGTTAACAGGTTAAAATGCACACAAGCTTCAATCTAAAATATATAGTTCCATTAGATAAGCGGATTCTACTTTTACACACACCCCTCTCACCTTTGCCTGCATAAATCAGTTACTCAGTTTGCACACATGATTGTGGTAATGGCACATTAACATGACAAACTGCAGCCAGCAGGGGCTATTCGTTACAGTGAATTCTCTGCTTGCCTACACTGCACTCAAACTCATACCAAATTCTCAACTGCATACCAAATCCAGACCTCGGTTCATGAATGCCTTGCTGTTCAGAACACTTAAAAACACACTTAGCTACCACTGAGATCAGCAGGATTTAATGAAGCTGGTGAAAGTTAATCTAATACCTGTGCATTTTAGAACTGTTTAAAAACCAGTGGAAATTTGGTCAAACAACGCAGAGAGAACAGTAAGAGGTATTTCAGGTTTTGTCATGTTTATGTTTGTCTTTCAAGCGGCTCACGACAATTCCTTAAAGAACAGTGACTTATCATCTCAAATGCAGGTTCCATACCCAAATCTTTCTGTGTTTTACCCAACTCGAGACCAGCAGGAGTGTCACCACATGTGGCAGCAGAAAAGAAATGGGGCCCTACCACTCACTTGGTTATAGTCATACAACACCCAGTGGCTTCAGTGCAGTAACTTCTGTACCACAGTAACAAAGCCAACTTTAATGCACAGCTGATGGCTTTGTTCCTCTTCTAAAGACTGGTGCTCCCACCACAGGGATAAGTAAACAAGACATATCAGTTCTTAAGCAGCAGAAGACTATGGCCCCGAGAACTAATCTAAACTAGCACTGACTTCATCTTGCTGTAACACGCCAGGCTGTGCACTGCTGTAGGCCAGGGGCTGTAACATTTCCCTGCTGTGAAGATGACAACCTGTAGTGGAGGTGCAAAGCAGACAACGGGGGGCAGTAAGCATTTCAACCATCCCAAACCAGCCTCCTGCTGCACAATTCTATACTGCGAAAGCAAAATCAGGCCTCCCAGATCTGACAGCTTGTAAATGTGATGGCTGGGAGTATAAACAACTTGCAGAAAAGCAGAACTATTACTTGGGGATTGATGGTAAAATAAAGAAACAAGAAAAGAGAAAGGAAAAAAGGAAAAAGTGCAACTGTTTAGGAGATAAGATGCACGTCATCAGACAGGTGACTGGGATGAAGAGCCTTGTTAGTTTTCTTCCCTCTCCCACCCTTCCCCGCCCTCCCCAAATCAGATACTTCAAAAATATTTAAGAGGAAAAAAAAAAAAAAAAAGAACATCTACATCTTCTTGCCATGTATTATAGTTTTTATGAACAATTAATGACTAGGAGGCCATAACTCCAAGCCATAATCTTTCCAAAATTATTTCAAGAAATATGTTCAGCTAACCTTTGGGCTGGCACCTTAGGCTGGCTATTCTCTGCCTTAAGACGTAGAAAGCTGTAAAACAAATATCCAAAAAAAAAAAAAAAAAAAAGAAAAAAGAAATTCCAGTTTTTTTTTTTTTTTCTCCCCTGTAAGGAGGATGGACTTGGCTGGGGCTTTTATCAACTTGTTACATTCCTGGAGACTTACACACATTCAACATTCAGAGCTTTTCTGAAATAAAAAAAAATTCTGGTACACATTTAAAAATAGCAACACCTTACATCTGCATTACATTATGAGATTTAACAAACACATTCTGATACATAAGAGTAATTAAATATCACGACGTGATGCTATTCTTATTCAACCAACTAAGGAGCTGCTTTGCCATACAATATTGTACAAATTCTCGTGTTTCATGGTTTAGATCCCATGTTTCCATCAACAGAACACAAATGCCTTCCTTAAAGAGACAGTATCCTTTCACCTAAATATGCATATACATATCACTAATGCTGCATAACATAAAATAAACGTAAAGGGTTTGCATCAGGACAATGTTAGTTTGAGAGTAATTAACATTACACTCATTTTAAAGCATCTGAACATCTGTACTGGCACATACATTTACTGGTCATTTTTATCATGTTTAAATTTTGATCGTCTGAAATGAAGTTAATGCTGAGAGACCTTTTCAGCTCTTACTACCATATGTAACTAAATATAATACCAAAGTTAAATAAGATAGAAACAGATCTATGTTTTGGGTTCATGTTAAAACAATTTATTTGCCAATAAAAATGAATATTAGATGCACAGCTTATTAGGCTCCATAACCTTGTTATCAAAGGTGGGGACTTAACAACAACAGCTCTTTGTATTTTAGGTAATACTGACCAACATTTAAGGGTTTGCTCTGATTGTCACTTTTATCGATTTACATCTGCTTTAACCAGCTAGCTCCTCAATGGAGGGAGGTTGGGGCTGTTGTTGGGCTTTGAAGGAAGCTCCAAATTCAAATTGACAGTGTGGTCAAAACACACTACTGCTGGCATTTCATGGGGACAAACTGGACTGCAAAACTGTGCAAAACTTCTATACAGAAGAGATGCAATGGAGGAGTGGAAAAGGATACTGTACCTTTAACACAGCAAAGTCATAACCGCTTTTAGAACCATAATGGTTCTAAAATGAAAAAATCCCCACATCTGTAACTGAATAAAAATAGCAAAACCTCATTTTTTTTTATTGCATGACAAAATTAACACAGTATTGCAATTCTGTATAGGTATTTTTCTCAGAAAAGATATTTAAAAATACACAAAATTATTGGCCGTTTTATAAGATCCACTGCACATCAATATTCATTAAACACTGCTGACACAATGCATTAACATAGACTGCGTTGTTGCAACCACAAATTTAGTAACAAAACTCTTGCTGATGTTAATGAGGTTTCTGCCAGAGGGCCAACCTTGTGGAAGCCAATGCTGTCAAGGTTCATTACTGACAAAATTATGGTTTTATTTCGCTAAAGATTTGTGCATCTCAGTTTATACAGAATTGCCATTTCCACTTAAAGCATCGTGATGCGCAAGAAACAAAAGCCCTTAGACACACAGCCTCGTCTCCCATTGATGTATGACATGATTTACGTGGGTGAACTCCCACCAACATTACTGTTGGTTACACAAAATCATCTCGGCATCAATGAGAGCACAACCACCTCTTCCCAGCCCACCACCATGCATCTCTGTAAATAAAGCACACAGCACAGATACACATTAAGACAGAAGGAGCAGCATATACAGTACGAGCTTCTCCACAGCACTTGCAAAAAGGCAGCAGCATGCACAATTTCCAGCAAAGCATTTGGTTATGTCTGCATCTGCCATTTCAGCTTGCAGAAGCTCCCCCCCTCTTTACTGCAGGTCACCTAAGAACTTCCTGCAATAGCATGCATTTTACTAGGCTGGACTAAATCTTAATGCTAATCTGACATCTTCCAACTGACTTTTTTTTTTTTGGTGCAATGCTTAAATGAGGTGTAAACTGATTGCCTGACTTCTACTTTTACTAACGGATTACTGTTTAGCTTCTTGACTGCTCTGTCCCTAAGCTTTTCATGTTAGTTGTGGATTTATTGTAAGGTGGTAGGAAAAAAATAAAAACCTTTGCTAACTTTCTCTGCTTTTCTTCCATAGGCATAACAGTCAAATCTCAGCACAGGGAAGTGACCAGACTGAGCTGCAATAGACGGATGCTCTAAAAGAGTGCATTCATCTTTACAATCCCTTCTCAAGATAGACTTTATTAATTTTGTTAATGTCTAAGGAAAATTCAGAATTGAAATAAGTGAAGTAATCAAATAACAGCAAAGCTTGTTAAATTCATTTTCAGTGAAATTCTATTCCTGTTAAACATTTTGGGCACAGCTTTCTGTTCACTAGACAAACCCTCAGAATTAGCCCTGTTAACCTCACCAACCGTGCAGACTCATGCCAACAGAGGATCTGACAGTAGGCCAGCATCAATTTACAGAAGCTGTAGATTCAAACTTGTATTTTGTACATGGGAATGCAGCAAAACCACACTTGCTATTGCCTCTAGCAAAGGAGTTGTCCAAACCGTAATCTAGAATAAGAATTCAAGCAGTTTGCTATTGCTTCTCTTAAGACATCTTGCTCAATTTTTATAACCTACATTAAATTAGTGGTATCTCTTTCTGCCAGCTCTTATTTAATAAAACAGGTTTAGTTCTGGGCTGTTAAATTGCAAGTGAAATTATGAAGCAAAAAGCAGCCTACATCTTTAGTGTAGTTTGACTACATATAACTAGCATACAAATGAATTACAAACAGGCATGCAGCCAAGTACAAAGCAGGTGTATTTTGTTCATGAAAGGCACACACATTTGGAAATCATTTTAATAGTTTTAAAAGAACAACAGAGCTTTTTGCAGGCCAGCTATAGCAAGGCAGGTAGACCTCTAGTTGTAAGGATGCCTTTCACGGAGCCCAGATGGATCAGTGGCAAAAATGTCCACAAATAAAGAACAGATAAGTTAAAAATAGCCCCTAGCATGGCTTGCTGGAAGGAGAACTTCCACCCTCATAGTGAAGAATAAAAAGCACCACATTACTTCTCACATATATCATAGAATCACAGTCACAGAATCCTTAAGTTGGAAGGGATCTTTAAAGGCCATCTAGTCCAACTGCTCTGCAGTGAGCAGGGACAGCACAGCTAGATCAGGCTGCCCAGGGCCTGATCCAGTGTCACCATAAAAGTCCCCGGGGACAGGGCATCAACTGCATCCCTAGGCAACCTGTACCAGTGCCTCACCACCCTCACTGTGAAAGACTTTTTCCTTACATCCAACCTAAATCTACCCCCTTTAAGCTTGAAGCCATCTCTCCTCACTCTCACAGACCCAGCTAAGGAGTCTGCCCCCTTCTTTCCCGTACCTCTCCTTTATATACTGAAAGGCCACCTGATATACTATCAGATCACCTTGGAAATCAGTGCCTCTCCTATTCCATAGTTTAGTTTCCTGATATGCTAACCAGGTTCCAGAGCCCAGCATGTATTTGCAGATTCACAGCTGTGTGAACACATTTTTTTTTCAGCTGGTATGTGAGAAAAGTACATTTGTGCAAGATGCATGCAATGATACATGTCCCAACTTGGTTTTCCCCTATCCATCTGTATACTTGAAATGGGTTCTGGGTTAGGACAACACATTACCACAGATGCAGCTGCCTTGCAACACGAAAGCAATTATGAACGTACTGTCCATACCTGTCCATATCTGTTCTGACCAAAAATTTTGCCTTGGAAATTCAAAGTCATTTACTGTGAAAGAAGAACTCCAGAAGAAACTCCTTCTATCCTCACTTTCACTCTGCTTTACAGTTTTGCCATGTGCATAACAGTAACACATAAAAATGCAAGAAAGCCTTATTTTTACAAGTTACAGATATCAGGTGTACATGAAAGGAAGCACACATAGAAGTCTCGATTGGTATAATTCATTCACAGGAGACAGAAGATGTTTTAAAGTATAAATTAAAGGAGGGTTCAGATTTTGACTTCTTCCTGCATGCTGTCAAAAGGACAGCTGAGTTATGCTGACTTTTGCTTGACTGAGCAGCACTAAGCACAGCTGTGCTGGATACCCCCTACGTCAGGCAGCGGGACAGAAAAAGAAATTACTCCACACTTTGCAAAAGCAAATCTAGCTAAAGTGGTTCTGTTTCCAGGTGCATCTTTATGGATGGATGACGAATCCCAGGCACTGCATTACTGTGGTTTAATGAGTTGCCACTTGTCAGCTGGGCCACACTCCTGCCCTTCTAAAGCTGACATACACAGGCTTGAACCTTCCTCACAATTAAACCATTACCTTAAACCACACAACTGTCTTAAGCTACCACATTCTTTTCTCAATAGGCATGGGCAGGAGACTGGCCCACATGTGTTTGGTGGAGAAGCTAGCAAAACTTCAGCCTGAAATCACAGCTCAGAGTCCTTCTGGTAACTGTAGGTTGCAGCTCTCTCATGTATCAGAGCCTGTATTCTTGCTATTCTCTGTCTCCAGCATGGCACTCGCATCTGCTCTCAGTAAGATAAACTCAAAGGCGATTGGTGTATACACAACAAGTTATGCATGAGTAAACAGGTGAGAGTGCAAATGTGCTGGAGCACTTGCAGGCATAGCAAAGATGATTCAAACTGCTTGGCTTGAGTACAGCAGTTCATGTCCATTAACAAAAAGCTCAGCATTGTTGCCTGACTATGTACTGCTTCATTTTTGAACTCATAGTAAACAGGGTCTCACAACCTGTTTTTAAGTCTGATTCTATACTTGTTTTCATGGCATAACTACCATTTATTTGAGAAATGGCAAAGAAAACATACATCCAGTAAAGGAAAGTTAACATTTATGCCACTCATTCTGGGGACAGGATTAAGAGGCTTGAATTTTTTGGAACCTTTTCAGAAATATCCCTTCATACAGTAAAACACTCAAGACAGCAGTTGAGGCCAGGAATGCTGCCTTGCATGTGAGGTTAATCCTTCATGCTGAATGCCTCATTCCCAAGGTGAAGTGCTTACTACAGATATTCTATTTGGCTGCCAGCACTAAAAAGATTCACTTTCGTCTGGTGTAATCTCCCACTCTGTGATATGACTGGAATTTTCACCACCCACAACTGGAACAGAGTTCCTTGCTATACTTCTCTCAGAGTTTGACTCCTGTTTCAGAACCAGAATTAACTGCTAAGTTTTTAGCAAGGTCTTCACCCACAAATTTGAGGCTTTTCTAAGTTCTCAGTAGTCTTTAAAGTAAAAGAAAAAAAGGAAACAAAGCATTTCTACACTTAAGTGAGAACTGTATTACTTTTAAAATCTGGTCCCAACTACTGGAGATGACCATACAGAATCCATCTCTGCACTCCTTGAAAGAGTGAACAGTGTACTTCAACAGTAGATAGAGAATCCACTTAGATTTAGCCTTAAAAAAAGAACATTTATGGTATCTGAAGAAGATGGCAAATCACTACAAATAATCTTACTGACAAAATTCACGGTAAGAAAAATAAAGAAAACCCTCTATACATTTTTTTATTTTTTATTTTTTTTACTTTTAGTTATGACTTTTTTGCTAGTGTTACTTTATGCCATCTTCAAAACTCTGAAAACAGCAACCCCAAATCAGAGTTGGTGAGAGAGAATTTAAAGGGCAAGTATATCTGTAGCTGACTTCCAGCTAAATGCAAGCTTAAATTTATGGCCATCACACAGGAGATGACCTAAGTGAAAAGCCACAGTGAGATCTCTTTTATTTCAGTGCAAATTATTTATACTTGTCAGTTAAATGTCCGTAGCCTCAAACATCTAAATGCTTAACAATTTCCAAATACAAGTTCAAAAAGATAGACATAGATTCTACCGCCTCTGGAGTAGATGCAATCAACTACCTCACGTTATTCTTCCATCTCTATAAGCATCCATCCCAGGGAAAAAAATATTTCTGTTATGAACTACAGCCTTAAAACTCAAAATGACTCATGATACAGGCTCAGAGATACCAATCTGAGATCTTCTCATCTCATAACAGTAGCAGGCGTGTTATGTTCCAAAAGCACTTTGCATAGCTTTTTTACCAGTCATCTTATATACCTATTAAACACTGCAAGCTCTTAACATGCTTAGGATGGAAGGAGCCAGTGCTGCCATTCACAGATTTGAACAAAACCTTTGCTGAGAGTGTACAGTTGCATTGCCAGTGCCACTTCTATCTTTTGCCCATCTTTCTGCCTGCTGCTTGTTTATGCCACTGTCCTGCAGGCTATGCATCTAACAATATTCAACACCTGTTTTGCTTTAAAAGTGGCTTAGCAAAAAATAATCTAGTCATTTGCATCTTAATTAAAAAAGCAAAAAGCACTATTTATAGGTTCAGTCCTGCAAAAACTTTGGAGAAATCATTCGTGTGAACTGTTAGGCACGTGAGCCAGTGTTCCCAGAATCAAAGACTGTAATTTTAACAAGCTGAGGTCTGTGATTCCTAACAACCTGAACTTCTACACCACCCTAGCTGCTACTATAGAGTACTTTTAGAAGATGCCCTTAATGATGAAGGCTTATCTATTTTGTTATCCTGACATTATCAAGGATTTTAAATAGCGTGTTAGAATAGGATTCTAATATACTATTAGAAAATAATAATCTTAGAGATGTTTCTCTTCGTGTGTGGCCCAATAAACGGATGTCATCAGGCTGGTTTATATACCCTTAGTTTGGGATTGCTGTGAGAATGTTTGATCTTTAGTATCAATTTGAATATATCCATTGACTTTTAAAATGAAACGTCAATTATTTAGATTTCTTTCTCAGATATAAATATTCTGGCCTGCACTGCCTGTAACATAACACTTGAAGTGTTATGCCCAGCTATTAGGAATGAAATAAAGTAGAAACAAAACAGAAATTCACAGATTCTCATTGCCTTAGCCAAAGTTTACTTTGCTTGATTGAAATCATTTTCAGAACTGTTAATAACAGACTGGATTTTGACCTGATAACATCCTTTTAATTAAGCCAGACTCACACGTGCAAAAGCCCTGGCCATCCATTACAAGACTGTGTGTGAAGGACGGCTAGGTGCACGCACAAGTCTCTCCTGTAAGTGACTAGAAGCCCCAGCAGCAATGATACTCACGTTGGCACTGTCCCCAGGCCAAACGGGCCCAGCCCCAGCAGCAGTCAATTCTGCTTCCAAACCGGCACAGTCCTGCAGAGACTATTTGTCTGGGCCACCTGCATGAGACAGTTCAAAGACAGCTAGTGAAACGTTTTGGAAGTAGCTAGCTAAAATCATTCTCTATTAACAACAACAACAACACAAACAACAGAACGCTTCTTTTTCTGGCAAAGTGCTCTGACCTGAGCCTGTGATATTTCTGTTACGAACGCAGCGTGTTGTTCAGACACTGGGCATAGCTTTAGGCAGAAGGTAACCGGCCTAACTTCGTACAACCCGAAACAACGGGCACGTTTCGCAATGCGCTCGCTGCTGCCGCTCACAGGTCGCTATTAAATTGTTGCAGACTTGTGAAATTATCGGTAACACGCAATTAACCACCATCCGGAGTTTCAGCATTGATTTGTTTCGCGACGTATCACCAAGTTTTCTTACTGAAACTTGGAGGGGGGGGGGGGGAATCAAAACATGAGCTTCACATTACACGGTAAATAAATGCAAAGGGAGAACTAGAGAGACCGTAAATAAAAACGAAGAGGAAAGAGGCAGCGCAGCCTCAGGCGATGGCAAAGCGCTGCCGTGACTTGTCAGCGCGCCTCAGCGACAGGCGGGAAGGCAGCGAGCAGGGCGCTGCCCCGCACACCGCGCCGCGCGCCCCACCTGACGCTCCGGCCCCGCGCGGGGGCTCGGCTCTCCTCTCCTCTCTTCTCCTCTCCTCGCCCCGCGGTCGCTCTCACCCGGCTTCGTGTTAAAACTTGAGTCGCAGTTCTCCACCGTATTCTGTTTCCAGTGCCTCGAGGCGTCAATAAACTGATTTTATTTTCACAGCACGTGAAGCGCTCCGCGTTTAATCCCGACAGAACGCAGCCCCGCTGCGGCCACCAACTTTCTACAGCCGTGACGGCGCTGACGCCCCGCAGCCGAGCACGGGCACGGCCCCGGGCAGCGCGATGCGGTGCCCGCGCTCGGCCCCCCGGTACCGTCCTGTAGCCGCCGGCTCCGGGGCGCCCCGCCCGGCTGAGGAGACGGCCCCGGGTGTGACGGGAGCCCCCCGGCGCCATTTCGCACCCCGGGGCCGCCGAAGCCCGCCCGGGGCACAGCCCGCGCCCCCTTCCCGCGGCTCGCCCCGCGCAGCCGGCCCCTACCTTCTGTCAAACTCTCCGGCCGCCCCCAGGGAGAGGCAGGAGGCCAGCAGCAGCCGCACGGAGAGCTCCATGGCCGGCGGGGCTCCTCAGCGACGCGGGCCGGCCGCAGCGTGAGAGCGGCGGTGCTAGAGGCGAGCCGCGGTGCCGACGGTGCCACGGCTGCCGCACGCCCCGGCTGCGCCGCGAGAGCTTCGGAGCGGCAGCGGAGGCGGCGAGCCCCTCTGTGCTGCCCGCCCGCCTCGCTGTCGGGCGGAGGAGGTGCTGCCGAGGAGCGGCCGTGCCGCCCGCAGCCGCTAGGGGCGCACGAGGGCGGGCTGCCCGCCTCCCACCGAGGGGCACCTGGCGGCGTGGCCGCGCCTCAGCGCCGCCTCGTCCCCCGGCCGCCTCGCGCCCCTACCTTGCGGCGGAGCGGGGGGCACGGCGCCCCAACCCCTCCTCGCACGAAAAGGGGAGAACAACGGCACCGACGGTGGGGCACAGACAGAGGTTTGACCTTGTGAACAAGCTGTTATCCCACGAGGTCCGACAGCCACCCGCTGCTCTCCAGGAGCAGAGTCCACGGGTACAGATAGATAAGAGCATGAAGGTTCAGCCTTCATTTTGCCAAACGCAGTTCTTCCAGAATAATGGTTCTCAACAGGATCGCAAAGTTTTTGTTTGCTTTGTTCTGGCTTAAAGTTTCCTTTAATAGCTCTGTGATGGTAGCACGTGTGGCCAGGTGCCCCTAGCCCCGGCCAAAAGAAACTGAGGTTCAAGCAGGACCTGTGCACCACACAGCACTACCAACAGGGGTGACTCCAGCTCTGCTCCTCAGTAAAGCACTAAAAGACGGCAGGCACGTCTGCTTCATTTCTATGAACTACTGCCACGGGGACATTTTGAGGGACACTAAATAACAAATTGTCACTAATTTAGTGGTCAAAACCGCTCACAGTGCTCTGCTTATTACAGACAGATGGGCCAACAGCTCGGAATAGATTGTAGCATTGGTTTTGGTGTGTGCATGCAACACAGCTAATCTCATCAGCTGTTGCTACAAGGGTCACACAGCTTAGACCCAAAAAACAAAAGATCTTCCAGTTTGTGCTGTAACACAAAGCCAAACCCTTCAGGGAGCACTTAGATGCCAGCTTCCTAAAATATGATTTCAGGCTTCAGATTTGAGCTGGAAGTTCTGCTCAGAGTATTTTGCACCTTTATAGCACTTCACAGATATACAAGCAGCACTGCAGTTATGACAGTAGTCAAGACCCTTTTGCACAAGGTATGAATTGAACTAGCGAGTTTTATGAAATTACACCTCTCAGAGCAGTTTTACCACTTACTGAAATCTTCAACAGAAAACCCTTCACTCTTCCATTATCTTTTCAGGATCCCAATTCCCCGTGCTAAGCCTCCTGTCCACAGTATCAATCCAATATCATTCAGACAAACGGAAAAAAAAAATGTAAAAAGCTCATAATTCTGCAAGATGTTTGTTACCTGTGCTGAGATGGCAAACCCTATGGAGGACTGAGCTAGACATGAAAACTACACCAAAGACCAAATGTCATTCCCTCCATTCACATCAGTAGAAGATGATAACCTATGCAATAACACAGTAGCATTTGGGAAAGACAGGGGAGCATCTGGCTTAGATTAGATTCTTGCTGAAACAGAACTGATTTCCAGCTCATGACTGATTGAATTATTTTTTGTTCCCCCACTCAGTGATGAGGGATCAGCCCACAGCCCTTGCAGGATTAATTTGTTGTCAAGATTTTATGGGCAAAAGGGAGAAGTCCTACTTAAGATAACCACAGGGATTTCTCTCTGGTACCAGCATCCAGCTGTATCTCTCCAACACACAGAATGAAAATATCTGCAAATTACATTGTGGCCAAATTCAGGACAGGTGCCAAAAGCAACATTTCAGTTTCATTGTGAATGAAGGTCTAGGGCAACCTGACACTTTCCTTCCAGTGTCCAAAAGGACGTGTGGTAAAGTCAAACCCATTCACATCACTCTGCATAGAGGTACTTAAGTACAGAGCAACTTTAAAGCACATGCTACTTTTTAAAATCATGTATACTCACAAATAGTAGTAAGATCATTTAATCTGTCCAGGCTGCACTCAGTATTTAAGATTTCCTCCGCAGTCTCTTTGACATTCTTGTGTGTCAGTAACTGTGCTGGTCAGACATGGTGCCTACTTCAATTAGGATTGTCTGCTTTTGGTTAACTTTTGCTTCTTTTGGAATACCAGTCTGAAAAAACAATTAACCAGTCACTGGAAGATCACATATTGCACTTCCATACCCACTAGCAGGACTGGACATCCAGCATTTATGAATTCATTTGTTTTGGCAATGATTTATTGATCTAAATGGAGTTTTCTTAACAGTGTAGTTTCTCATATTCAGGACACTGAGTGAATAAGTATAGGAATCAAATCTCTGACAAATTAACAGTGTACAAAGCTGGCTTCCATACTCTTACTCATACACACATACATAGTGCTGTGAGGGTGTGTATCAGGCTAATACGTAGGAGATGGAGAAATTGTGGAAATAGTAAGAGAAATGCTCTCATACCTTACAATTAACGAAGCAGCAGGAAAGCATCACAAACGTTGAAGTCACAGGGCTGGCTGACGTGATGTTCAGCAAGACATTAGTAATAAACACCCAATAGGAATGCATCAAGCACTCAGACAGATCACTAGCACATACCAAGCAGATGAAGTGGAGGATTATGGACAAAGGAACAAGTGTCCAAGGAATCTCTTTCAAAGATGAATTGTTGAGTGCTACATGAACCATGATTTTCACTGCAAATTAGCAACAACAAGGCAGAAACATGGAGGAAGATGCAAGGTATTTCAAACAGTAATGCTATTCTCCTGCATATGAAAGACCCAAAATGCATGCAGCAATCAAAAAAGGAAGGTGCAAACAGGTCTTAAAAGGTGTTTAATGAATGCATGCTTACTATGCATAATTTACTCTTTCCATTACTTTATAAAGATCCTGTGATGCCACATCACAAAGAGCTCGTGTATCTTGTCCTCAAGAAACCACACTATCAGCTCTGATACTCATCTTGGACTTTCAGTCTCATAGATTCATTGGGTTCAGATTGAGACTCCTCTTTGAATATCAAGATCCTAAATTTGCTAAAAAGATATGCTATTTTGAGAGCAGTGGAAGAGTCTGACACACCTACTGAAATTAAGGCAGTTTGCTTCTTAGCTTTCATTTTGGTTGGCTGGGTTGTGTTTGTGTTTTTTGTTGTTGGTGGTGGTTTCTTTGTTTTGGCTTTTTGTAGTTTCTAGAATATTCCCTAGTATTTACTGAACAGACAATATTAAGAAAAAAAGAGTTGTAAAGATATCAGTGGTAGATATTTTTAAATGGCAAATGCTAGTAGATATAGTAGGTACTAGAATGCAGTAAATGTAACAAATATCACAGAATCAGCTTCAAATTTTACCTTCATTTGTTACAGGTAGCTGTGAATTAATCACAATAGTAACAGATGCTGCCTTAGGCCAATCTACTGTCAACTAACTTTTATTGGCATTAGTTAACTCGTTTTAATATTATTTCCTTCTTTGGGTCTTAAAATACATTACATTAATCCCCTTTTCAGATGAATCAGGCAATAATCTTTGTGAATCTCCAATTTTCATAAGCAGACATTAAGAAACAGAAAGTGATGTATCCCCCAAGCCAAATTATCTCTCATCTAACCAGAAATAAATCTCCTGTTTTCCAATTTCACATTTAAACCACAAATGCATCCTTCTTTCCAAGTATTTTACCCTCATTGAGGCTAAGGAAGTTAACTACAAATACCACACCATTCCAAGTCACTCAATGACATTATAACACTGGAAATACTAATTCAAAAGCCCTTAAATGTTCCCCCCCCCTCCCATGTCACATCTTATTAATCTGCTTTTTGAAGTAAGCTTTTTCCATACAGACTTGTTCCTTCTTTAAAACTAAGAGTGGAATTTGTGTTGAAGTTTCCTGCGTTTTATTATAGGATGAAGTACTTATTTTCCCCTCTAAACACACAATAAGTTTCTGGGCTTTGAATGGAAAATTTCACTATTCCAGTCTGCATATATCTTTCAGACATATGGCCACTTGATCAATTTTTGTACCAAGATGACTTGCATTGAGGATGAGAAGTATCCTCCAAACTTAACACTACCCTATAAGAGATTGGTTCTACTCGAGACACAATCATTGAATGCAGAAAAATCTATGACTGACATAAGAGACGCGTTCATCAGAACAGTGAAGGGCAGCACAGCCAACTTCAGAAAATGATGGCAAACTGCCTGCACTGATGGAAGCCTTGCGTATCCTACACCTCTCAGTAACACCAGCAGTGAAGGTGATGCAACTATCAGAGAACATGAGCTTGAGAAATACTTTGCAGAGAAGACAACAGAATACTTCGCACTGACTCACATTTTACAGACTGTAACAGAGGCAGAACTGAGATGAGTCCTTATGTCTGAGTAAAACAATTGTGAATGCCTTCACAGATTGAGCAGAAGAAACATGCAAATGGCTTCTGACATTGTTTAAAAAGGAGAAAGAATAGAGAAAGCTTTAGGCTGAATAAATGACTGACACTATTTTTGTGCAGTCAGCACTGAAAAAAATGCCTCCAACAATACATTAGCATCATTGCTGTCTGCTCCAGGTTGGTTCAGCCAGTTAGCTCCCATTCATTGCTATAGTTCAGTCAGCCTTTGGAAAAGCTGTCACAAACCAGCTGGGTTTGTTGAAAAGGATGCAGGGCTGATTCCGAAGCAGCCTGACAGTCACACTTCTGTAACACAGTTTTTCATCAGTATGAGATTCTGCTGTTCCCATAATACAATAAATTGAATACAAATCCTACAGATTATGGCCTGTTTTGCAGGTCATACTACAACTCCTCAAGTCTAGTTCTACCCTGTGCAGCCAATGTCTCATTTTGTTTCCTTTCCTTAGAAAATAGAATACTTCAATGCAAGAAAACTGTTATATGCATCACAATTTCATCATCACCTTCATGGGCTACATGCATGCACATCCAGTGGTCAGCATGAGGGATGAGAACTGAGACACAAGCAAGCCATTTAGGATGATTAGCAGTTAATAAAAAAAAAATATTACTTACATGGTAAGAAAATATATACTAGAGAATGCTCATAATCAACAGTTTACTGTCTTTGTCATGG